CACGCGACGCTGGGGGCCTGGTCAACAAGTATCTGAATTCGGCTAGGGGTTAGGTTGGCTGGCACATGGGAGCCGATCTAGGGAAGTGATGGCGCTGGTTTCAAGGCAGACACTGACAAGGAACGCCAGAGACCGACTTGTCACCTGAGTCATCAAACCCTTAAGACCCTGTCTGTCCCACCCCCGACCCGGATGGATGAAAAAAACACTAGCTGAGTTGCAAGATGCCCTGGCTGAAGTCCGTCCGTTGCTCTGGAACTGTTCGTCCCTCACTCTCAGTCTATCAGGCTGCGCGGTCGCTCGTTCGAGCTCGTCATATTCATCTTGGGCATGTTGCCGACGCTGTCAGTCGATCAAGGCCTGAAGCTACGAAGACACGAAATCAGCAGAGCAGGGCACCAATGCCTTGTATGCATGTGCACGGCGATTAGATTACAAGCGGCGAGATTGTGGGAGATTTATCCAATGCCACATGGCAAGACTGGGTCTTCCCTTGCCGCCCTAAGATGTCTCTGGCTGAGATCGGTAATCCAACCGTTGGCGAAAGGCAAGAAAGTGCATGGTTGGGCTACTTTACTCTAGCTTGCACCTGCTGTGAGCACCGCGACGCAGCGGAAAAACTAGTACGTGGGGGGGGAACAAAACAGACGATGGCCAGAGAGCAGTCGGGCACTTGATCAGTATGCGACTGCTCATTGGCCGGTTCGTAACGACAAACGCCAAACCACGGCAATTGAGGCGGCGATGGCTGAACCTTGGTGGGTAAAAAGTCTTGTTTGAGACGCCGAACGGGATGTCACCACAGACGAGTTGTAGACCGGCCTTGAGCCATGATTCGCAAACCACGCCCCCAGGCACCCAACTAGCAAAGTTACCTAAGCTCGAGCGCAGCGGCTCAATAGCCAATAGTACGGTTAGTCCAGGCATATCGCATGGCAAAGCTGGCATACGGGCCCATCCTCACAGGGCGTCGGGGAGACTACCGACACCCACGAAGTTGGGAAGGAAATTATCATCGGCAGATAGCAGGCCAAGCGGCGTGTCATCAACTCAGTCCCTACTGGCGTCATTCTCCCACTTCGCAAACTCAAGTATATGAAACTTTTAATTCTCAACTGTTTCTAATCTCTTTTTTCCAGGGCCAGTCAACACCGCTTTTTCCTCGTCCCCGCTTGCCAGAACGTCGCGTGCCACATTTTGCTACCCGGTCCAGAGCGGTGTCCTCCTTGGTCAATTCTTTCCAGGTAATCCCTGAGTACGAGAGTACAGAATACACACCACAACAATGTACACATCAAAAGGGGTGCGCACCAGAAGGAGAGGGTGTCTTCTTGGTGGGCACAGGCGATCGGCACCCCTCCGTTATACGGCGCGGCAAACGCTGCTTGGCTCTCCAGCCACCAGGATGGGCAGGTAGGTCAGACTTCGTACACTGTACACAGTACTTAGCCATGTGTCGGATTCCGTACAGCTCGGCAAGCATGGCGTGGGTCGCTCTCTCTCGTTCTCTCTCTCCATCTTTTTTTTTTTTTTCCTTCGGAGCACTGCCCACCAGCTTCATATTGAGGTGTTTGACCAAACCGCCTATATCCATGCCATGTTACAATATCATTCTGGACTTCAAAGGAGTGTTTCACTCCAAAATTGGCCACAAACTGGCCGGCCATGGGGTGGTTCCGTGATGGGTCGCGTTGACCCAGTATGCTACTAGTAGACCTACTAAACCCAGGTCGTTTTCAAGGATAGCGTCTAGGGGTGGGCTGTTTCTAGAACATCCGTAGAAGGAAGAGCTTAATAGCAGACCAGGGGCAAGGAGGAGGCCGTGGCTTGAATCTGTTACTGAACCACTCCTAGGGCATTAATTACCGTGACAAGGCCAGGCTTCTCACACCCTGAGGCTTTGCCTCCGGCCTCAAGGGGAACGAACATCCATTTTTAACTGGTTATCGATACATGATACGGATGTTGGTACCCCGGTCCAGCTAATCAAGTTCACGGTAGGCCAATGCCTTACATCATTGTCAATTTACCAGACCTGGCAAGCTGATTCATGATGGTGTCGGCTGCTGCGTCTACAATTATAGCAATGAATATGGCGGACAAACCTTCACGCTCGAATCCTGCTCCATTCGTCGTCACCGCGTCACCACGTCACCGCCTCATGACAACTCGTGAGAGAAACGTTACGCAAGAGAAGACAATGTGCCGAATCCTACAGTCAGTGGATCTCACTCTCTTAGCACGGCAGGCAGGTAAACCTATCAATCCCAGCTGTTGCCCCTTTGTTTGCGATTTTTTGCGCAAGCCATCTGCCGTTCACTATGGATTCCGCCTCATTAGGTCCTGTGTGAACTGACGGGGAGGGGAAGAAGAAACGGTGCAGGAGATCAGATTCAGGTCACTCCCATGTTCCCACTGTCACCACGCGGCAGCTGTTCCGAGTCCGGGGCTTCGACTGTCTCGGATGTTTGTCAGCCATAGGCGCCGCCTTCTTCCTTCTCTCGCGTGGCTAGAGGACCTTAGTCCGACTGTTGGCCACCGACCTCACGCGATTCATCTGCCCCGGGTTTGGCTCCTCTGCTGATGTCCCGCGCCTTGGTTCCAATTTCCGTCAAACACACAATGGAATTTCAAGCCATGGCTGAAAACCACGCGAACTCAGGTGCCACTGCCGGACTGAGCTTGGGGGTTCACGGCCGTTGCTGGACAGCCATATCATGCCATGGTTCCGCTCCTTTGGGTTCTGGAACTGGCCAGTCCGTGGAACCGCCCACCCGCGCCCCCCCGCCATCTCCTTCATCAACCGACACTCGGCTGTCATTTCCAATAGTCCGTTGGAAAATCTTTTTACAAGTACTTTCACCCTGTGTGTTGGGCAGCAAAAGGATCTCGGTTAGCGATGGGACGGATCCAAACTAGTCGCCGCACACCCCCTTCTACCTGTCAATTAAAACTCGTCCCAAAAGCCCAGACATTCCCTAGAGCGTAAAGCTCGGCTACCGGCCGGAAGAGGAAGGGCACGTACTAAGTCGCACAATCTCCTGCTATATACGATGTATGACCTGCTTATCTGACAACCCCCCTAACTAATGTCTCAGATGGCCATGCCGAAATGTAGACAAGTTCGTCACACATGCTGGGTATAGCCGTTCCACCGGTAGCCGATGGATCAAGCCAGTCATTTCCTCCAAAAACGCCCTCGCAGAAGACCACGACGAGAATATCGCCTTTCAACCCGACCCTTCAAGAACAAGGAGGCGCCCCGGAGCAATCACAATGCAACAAGAAAACAAAAAGTGCTGCACAGCACATCTGGTCCAGCATGTGGCCCGTGACCGCCCCTTCCTATCCTCTCCAGGGACCAGCATCTCCCGCAGATGATCTCCGTCGTTTTCCGCTTCGGCAGTTGGAAATGCCAGTGGGTAACAATAGTCTGTCGAATAAAGCACTACATGCCACAGCGGCTTGTCGGTCATCGTCCGGAACCCTACTCCCGTTGTACTACGTACTTGAACCGCACATCACGGGTCCGTATCTGCTACTGGCTGCGTCACGAATTCTGACCTCGCTGCGACACCGGTGACGGAGAAACTCTTGCTCTGCCCATGCGCACGCATCTATGGTGTTTGTGAAATCAATGACTATTTATCACGGTAAACCAACAGATCTTATGTTGAGTCCTCCACCATGAACCCGTCGGCTATTGACATGCTCAATTGAGCGGTATGTCAGGTGTGAAGGCCGAGGGCAATTGACAATGTCAATGCCGTGATAAAATGACACCGAGAATCCTGACTCATGAAGTGGCAAAAAACAATATCTCGGTGCATTGCTGGGCAGAGGTTGGTTTATTATCATATGCCGAAACCGTCGGGCACGATTGGCCTTGAGCCTTCAACCCGGCCGGCCATCCTCCACACCGGCCGGCGCCGATCTGCTCAGGGGGAGTTCCGCCGCTCCAACCTCGTTTGTCCGATACCCAATGTAAGAAACACGAGACGCCGGCGCGAACCACATGTTTCCGCCTCCATGCGGTACCCCACGACTTGTTTTCTTTTTGATTTTTTTTTTTTGATTTTTTTTTTTTGCTTTTTTCGCTTTGGGTACGATTACTGATCCCGTTCGGACTCTGTTACGCGGCGCAGTAAGCAAACGTCTGCACACGCCCACGCACGTACTACAGTTTGCGTACACACAGACGGGGAACACACTAATTCCATACCTCCTTCTCGCCGAATGCATTCAGGAAACGACAATATAAACTTTCAATGGCGCCACTGTGAATACGGCGTGTTAGCTCTATGTATAGCTTTTTTTTGGTTTTGGTGGGAGCCCTCGGACTATGAAGGTGCAACTTGGACTTTCACTCTACTACGTAGCAAGCAGGGCCACACGATGAACACTGAACCGCACCCACCTCTTGCGGACGTCGAGGTCCGCACCAAGAAACAGATTCCCCCTTCAAAACCGGGAGGCAAAAAACATGCGAGGGCAAACCTTGACCAGACACTCCAAAGTCAATCTGGGTTCCGTTAAAGGGGTGGGATGGTGGGGACGAAAACTCCGTGCGCTCGATCGCGGGTGGCGGCGCCGGGAAGCTCTCGTGACCTGGGCAGACCGGTCACTTTCACCGGCTGACGCGGGGTCGGGAGCTTCGGGACCCAATAGCTACCTGAACTTCCACCCCTTCCGGAGCACCTTGATCTCTGCTGAGTTGACCGCCGCCGACCAAGTCTTTTCCCCGCGCAAAGCCAAGCGTGGAAAGGCAGACTAATTCCTCCTTCATTGTACGGATAGACGCTGCTGGATTGAATACATCCTGCCCTGAGCGTCTGTCGTCACCGCTGCCCTCCGAGTCAGGGGTGTCTCCAGTCGGTTTTGTAACACACCACACCACACCGACCCCTCCCCTCACTCTTCCCCCTCCTCTCGACACTCGTCCACCTTTTGTACTGGCCGTATTGTCGAGAGGAGAGATACACCAAATCCCACCGCCGGTCATGAGCTCCTCGAAAACTCTCACGCCTCCGCTTGACGAGGCGCCATCGCTCAAGACGGACCGTCCGACCGGGCAACTGTTTGAGCTCAAGGAACTGCAGAAGATCGAGCTGTCCGGCCTCGCTATACACGAGGCGGCACGGGTCCCGCCTCCGCCAGGCCCGCCTCCAGCCGCTGCTCCTCCTCCTATTCCTATTCCTATTCCTGTCCCTTCTCATGGCGGCGAGCGCGGGCTTCGAGACTTCAACTACAATGGAAGAGACATCAAGCCCCGCGACAGCGAGCGTAGCTCCGGCGCCATCGGCCGACATCGTATCAGCGCCTATTCCATGTACTCCACCTATTCATCTTATGCCTCTTCGGACGACGGCCGTAGTGTTGTGACGGGCCGTGACCGCAGCGGCAGCAACAAGAGCGAAGGTGTGCCGCGGGTTGAACACATCGAGCGGCAGCCGAGAAGAACCCCTCCCATGGAAGCTGTGCCTCCCTCCATGCGGCACTCTCGCCGTGGCGGCAGTGGTGTAGTGTCGCAGCCGCCTCCGACGTACGCTCCGTCTCATGATTTCTATAACCGCGTGAGGTTTGCGGATCAAGAGCGAGCCCGCCGGGACGAGACGAGCAATCCCGGACCGCGCCAGATCGATATGGCTCACATCACCGGTGGTCACAGCGCGAATGCCCTTTGGGTGTTTGCCTGCTGTGCCTTCTTTTGGTATCGGTGCCTTATGGACGAGGATTTTTGATAGTCGTCGAGACGTCCTTCGTATTTGTCCGCCACGAGGGGGGAGGGGGGGGGGGGGGGGGGGGGGGGGGGGCTATTCCCTCTTCTCCGGTCTTTCTCTGTTTGTCTTTTCGCCTTTGTCCTTTTTTCCTTCCTTTCCTTTCCTTTCCTTCTTTCTGACAGCTTCGAATTGGCCTTTTGTTAAGGGCGGAACCTTGCCACGCGCGAGGTAATTGAGCCGGTGTCGCTCGTCATTCCTCGTGATGCATTTCGAGGATTCGATATTCCCGCCTACTCGGCAGACGACATGATGATACGACGATCACTTTGATCTTGCCCTTTCCTTCGTCTCCCTCATCCAAATTCTCATGTCCGCGGTTAAATTTGATGATTGATCATGTGTCAGAGTTGACTCGCCGCCTGCATGGCATTCTTATACATACTGAAAATAGGGTGAGAGGTTGCGGCTTGGGACAAAAGGCAACAACGCGCAAAATGTTGTTATGGGAAACAGGACACGACGATATGAGACCTTCCACGCACACAAACGGGGAAGATGAAAAATCCAAAGAAAAAAAAATCAACAGTGATGATAATAGACATGACGAAAACGGAACAGCATTCCTTAAATATGGAAAAAGGGAATGGCCATGGGTTTTTTTATTTACTTGGGAAGGGCGTAGTTTTCAACGATATTTGGGGAATTTCGTGTATTATAGAACGGTTGACATTTACTGCATGAGGCATGGCCTACTAGCCTGCGGGGGCATCCCACCGGTCCTCCCGCGTACATATATATAAAAGGGTATATGAGAAATTTGATCCTGACATATATATATATATATATATATATACATGTACACATATGATCGGTCACGTACCGATGCACATTATTACCCCTGTCGACGAACCGATGGGGAGGATTGTGTTTGGCGGGACGGCCGCAAGAAACAAGAAGAAATGGAGAAGAAGAAGGGAAAAAAGGGGGAAAAAAAAAAAGTAGGACCTTGCCAAGTTCTGCGTTTCTACCCGCGTAGTAACACTCTGGCATTGTCCCCGGTAATCTGATGGAGTAGTATGCGTTTCGTTTTTCTGTGGTCTTTTTGATGATGCGACATTCTTATGCGTTTTGTTGTTCGGGAGAGCCCCGCTTACGCCGTGCTCTTTGCAGGACAGACGGGGAATTTTCGAGACAATTCGCTCGTCTCCTTGATTTCTCGAGCGTCTATATTAGGGATGGGCATATGTACGCTCGTCACGAGTTCTCTTTGACAGACAGATGATGTTACTTGTGTGATTTGGTGATTCAAAGATGAATGCCACCTCCATGGTTTCTGCGTTTCTGGCGGTGGGATGATGTGGATGCTCAGGCTGGGTTTGCGCGTCTATGACTTCACGTCTGTATTTCGAGATGTCATCTGGCCGACTGCGCAAATCGTCGGGCCAGGCTACTTATCGCGGCCCCAGTTGATATTGGAAGGATGTATGTGGTGTTTGTATCGGACTTCATGCCGTTCGGTGCTTCTCACGGCCGGAAGAGAGGGGTTAACATAATCTAGCCGGAGGAGAACAAGGAAGTTTGCCGGTTATCGGTATTCGGACCGCGTGGTTACCCCATGGGTTTTGCTGGTTTGCACTCGGTCTAGTTGGCGGCCTCCGACGTCTTAAAAGGATTTCTGCCTGTAGCGACATGGAGTTAGGTTTCTCCAATACGGTACGTGATTGCTTGTACGAAGTAGCTGATCACAATGTCAATCCCAATGATATAGATATACAAGATAATGGCTTCAAATGGCCAATATGGCTGAAAAAAGGAATAATCTTTTGTGTACGAGCAACGCTATATATGATATCTTTTACAGAAAACATTTAAAAAAAAGCCTTACAGCCTAGTGAGAAGTACCTGTTGTCACGATGGTAAGGAGACTTTGATACCCAGGACGGTGCTTGTCGTGGAACATACTGGGCTTGTAATATTACTCTAATCCTAAGTCGTTGGAATGCGAATGTATTGTATTGGCCTGCTTATTATCATCTCGTTGACCAAGTCTGGATGACGTCTTGCATAAAGCCCATCGTCTCAGTTGTTGCTTCTCCGCTTGATACTTGCCCTTCATAGGCGCGGCTTCTATTATAGGCTGATTTCCCCACGTATAGCTCACATACACTCTTCAAAATATAAGTAAGTCCCTCCCTGCTTCTCAGGGAGATCATTATCCCATGACTCCTGCCAGCTTATAACCTCTTTTAGGTTTAATTACCTTTCGGGCATTTTTCGTTAAACCTCATGCTTCAATGCCGAAGAAACCAGTGTTTGGCAATCAATAAGATGATCATATATCATATGTCGCCGTGACTGGTTCAACAACGTAGCCAACCTGCTGACGGTTAATGCGAGACCGAGGGTTACTACCGCCTCTGGCTGCCAAGCGTATGGAAGTAATTTTGGAATTCCTCTGCAAGATCTTTCTCAGCTACCATCTTAACCTCAAACCTCCATATTTGAGAGGTTTTATACGTTTCTCACGATGTCTTTTTATGAAAGTCGATTTTTCGCTGTGACCGATGCTGTATTGTACCGTCCTTTTTCGGGTGATTAGCGCGCCGGGGCACAAACGATATTGTCTACATATCAAGATAGAATAGAGGTGCGGTTCTTGCGATTAATTTCGAAGATTATCCCTGGAGTCCAGGAGGTGAAAACCAGGTTCCTCGACATACAACCCGCTCTCCTCACAAAACTGCTTCCAAGAGTAGTACAACTAAAGGCTCTAGAACCTATTCCGACATTAATGGAAGATCCGTAGTTTACCAATAAGACTTATCAGTCACTGCTGAAATCTTTATGGCCCGTTTCCATGTCAAGCCCTTTCGACCAGCCCCGTCTTCCCCTTTAAAGTGGTCCACCGACCTTAGTAGACATACCAAAAACTATGATAGTTTTGATCAAAGCTTGGATTGTTCTGTTGATTACGTTTCCAAACAATTTCTACATCAAAGTTTAAGATACTTTTGCTCCTGTCTATTCCTAAAGGTTGCATATATCACTCAACGTTCGATGGCGTGAAACCATTGTAAAGCACTACGGAACACAGAAGAGCCAGCGTAGTAGTTATCTTATCTGAATTTTCGGCCTGTCACATCCAACCGTGTTGACAAAATTGCCATTTGCCATGGTTCTTCTTCCATCCTTGCACACGGCAAGTACGTGGTCCATAGGGTTTGTGGCTGCCTTCAATTGCGGTGCTCCGCAGACGCAAATTAACCGGCGGGATACTCAAACCTTCTAGCTGCAAGGTTGGAAGAAACACACAGAATAAAGAGAAAGCACTTGCCATACATGTTGGGGTAAAGGCAAACTTAAAGTGATGATGTCACATATCAAGATACCTCAACGACACGATACACGAGACGTAGCAGCCATTGCTACGATCTATACAGCCATCTAGTGTATGTTATATCCCTGGTCTGCCGTGCAACGCTTTCCGAAATAACTTCACCAATCCATTGTGCAAGATGCAAAGAGCAAACCTATCTGCAAAAGGGCGCTGCTGTTCTCATCTCAAACCCACCTTCCCAATGACCCCATCACCATAGATGGCCTGCCAGGCTAGCTCAATCGTCAGAGCGTAAAATTCTTAATCTCAAGGTTGTGGGTTCGACCCATAAGCGTTACTCTTACAAGTCAGATCTCGCAAAGTACTCGCTCTAACATCATACTAGCCACGTCGGGCTCAATTCCTGCCCGTGATTGAGGCCCTTGAGTGAAAGTCAGTCTGCCTAGCAGATTGCTCCAAGTTGCCATACCTGTGTATATAGCATAGAATGTGTCACTGTTTAGATCGTCATGGCCCAAGTTAGTTGGCTGTGGCAGTCTCTGCATCACGAGAAACAATTGCCCTTGTAGTGCACCTGTAAGATTATCATTTCCATCCAGCAAGCAAAGATCAATGCCTGACACCCAGCTATGACACAGCTCTTCTTTGTCCACCTTTCATGTCATAGTTGCGGATAACATAGAGGTGCAAAAGCGAACAATCTCATTCCTAAACCGTCCTTCTTCAATCTCCTCGTGAAAGTCTAATACGGCAAAGACCGAACTCAGCCCCATCCGTAGAGCTGTAGAGAAGCCCAGGTCATTCCTGCCTTCTTCAGCCTTGTGCAAATCAACCCATTTAACGCCGTCGCTGTGAATTGTTTTCCCCAGCCCTGTTTTGTTGATACATACACCTCAACCCAGCGTGTTACAACACACGTAAGTTCCGCGTTCGCCAGCTGTCGAGCAGATTTGCCTGTACAACCTCGCCTTTCTACAGCTGAGTTGGTGCAGTGCTTTTCGTCCATCCCTTGGCCCTCATTCCAGCCTCGATAGTCTTCCAAACCTGCTCTGCCGCCTCCTTGTCCCTGAACCTAGCCGCCTCGCTGGCGCCTGTGCCATCACGCCAGCGGTCAACGCCGAGATGCATTACTCGGTGTCCCCACTCGCGGATGCTGTCGGGCGGCTGCTCACCTCGCCAGCCAACAAAGATGCCCTGAATGCGGCGGAACAGCTCCTGCGGGTTGCTCCACTTATAGTTCTTGAACTGCCATGCTTGGCCCGTGGTGAAGACTGCGACAACACGGTTCCAGTATTCGGGCTTGAACTGCTCAGGCCCTTCGACAAGAATGAAGCGCATAGGACGCGAAGGGTCTATTTCCTTCATGACGCGTGAGACATGGAGCATGCTCGACGCTGCGGCACCGCCATCGGGAGTCACGTAGCGGCCCTGCTCAAGGAAGGAGCGAATGTTGGAGAGGCGCAGCAGGGACGAAGCAGAAGGCGACAGCAAGATAATAGGGTCCGGCCGACGCGAAGGGGGCTTCTGATTGATGGCAAGGGATGGGTTGGTACTGATGTTTGTGGAGCCGTGGGGCTTCTTCTGCATGAAGGGAACGGCAAGCTTGCGGACATGGGAGAAGTCCTGGTAAGACTTGTGTCAGTAAATGCAAACAAAAACCACAGCAGGAGCAACTCACTGTAGGCTTGACACCACGCAGCACGGAGTTGCGGTCGCCCATCTTGCGCTCTCCGTTGTAAATGACGGCCAGTCTAGGATCAAGGGTCCCGCGTCCTGCTCTGTTGGATGCGGCGGCCGGAGCGGCTTTGGAAGTGCTCGCGCCAGCACCCTCCTTACCCTCCTTGTCGCCGGCCAGGGGCTTGATGTGTTCACTCTCCTCACTAGCGCCTTCTAACCAGGTGAAAAGATCTAGACGCTCAACAAAGGCGAGGTTTTGGACAGTACCGAGGTTGCCCAACTCCTCGTTGAGACGGGTCGCGCTGGCATTGTACTCAGGAATGGCGACATCCTTATTCAGCCAGGCGAAGTAGATCGATCGTAGGTCGACAGGGCGATCGCTGGAGATGAAGCGCGTCGGTGTTGCAAGTGAGACGGATACAGTGGATGGCTGGGAGAAGCGCAGATGGGTAGCTTTCGAAAGGGGAACTTCTGGTGCTGAGGCGTCAGAGGATGCTGTTGGGACTGCAGGTCGTTTGGATGCGATCGACTGGCGCAGGAGAAACAGAGGATCCTGCTCAACAGCAGCCATCGTGAGAACTTCAAGGATGATTGCAGGAAATCGGCTGTTCCAAGTAATTCTGGAGCTTCTTTCCGCACACGAAGATTTCGAAGGATCGAGTTGAGGTGAATTGGTCGCGACAGGAAATCGCGATGGAGAGATGGCAGCCTCGAATTTTGGGGTTCTAGGCCAGCCTCGTCAGTTCCTGCTCGAGCTATGCACCAGCCACAGTTGGCCCCAACTTGCTGCGCCACCATAAAAAGAGCCCAATCAAGCCGCTCTCTCACTGAGTTGAGATATGCCATGTTGAGGGATACTTCCAATATGCTGGGCTTTCTCTCGTACTTTTTCGTATTATTTTCAGAAAAATTTATGCTTTTCTTAATTGATTTTAGGTTGAAAGTAATATTGATAGGAACGGTCTTCTCCCAGGATACGACTATGCATACAGCGCAATCTCTCACACCTCGCTATTCTGCGATGTAATTGACACTTCAGAGCCTTGACGTCTCTCGCCTACGGCTTGTTCAACTCTGAGCGCAGAGCTGGTCCTTCTACGTCCATGATAAACACACAATCCTTTGCCACCGGAAGGATGCAGAATATTTGTAGGGCATATCGGACTACTTGGTAGGTGCTCAGGGATATCAAATTGGAAAGCTTGCGGGCCTGGGAGAGCCTTCTTCGGCCGTGTTCGTCTCTTCACCTCCCACCATTCCTTGGAATTTTTTAGAACATTCTTCTTACAACCGTTCTGTTGTTGCTCTTCTTCCGCGGAACTTTTTAAGTGTCCAAAGTTCCAGGTGTCATTTCCCACTCCCGGTGGTACTACATCTGAGAAGAAGCTTCGTGGTGTTCCGTCAACGGCGTTTTTGTGCACAGGTGGAGTTCTCACACGCGTTGCCTCCTGTTCAATTGGTTACTATGACCGCTATTGCACATATCATCGACAAAACTCACACCCGCCGGGTAAGGACTCGTGCTATATTCCAACTGGCCTAAAGACTACTGGTTAATTTATCAGTACGAAACGTAGTAAAGCAGTGATGACTTACGACTGAAAAAGTCCTCAGGATTGGGAGTGACAGGCGGCGTTCTTCCAGCTAGGACTTCGCGAATGGAACTCGAGACACTGTCAATAGTGTCACCGGAGTCTTTCCTATACCAGGGCGCCTTGCCAAACCATCGTGCCCCAAATTTTGGACTTGTCTTTGCTTCATTACTCATTACCCAGCTTAGACTCTTGGGAATTGGCAGGCTTATAGCGTTCTTCAAAGCCCCATTACCTTGCTTTGGGGTAGACGTTCTGTCAATATGTTTAGACGCATTCTTCTGTCTTCGGTTAGAAAGCAAACACATTGAGGCTGTATGAATCCATTCTTACGACCTTGGTCTTGAAGATGGCAAAAATGCTGCTTTCCTTACGCTCATGAGTCATCGACGCTGCAACATGCCGATTGTCGCGAGGCGTGGCTGATCTGAAAGGGTCAAGAAACGACTGGATTTCCTCAACATGTGAGGCAGAAATTTTCAAGGTCTGCGAGACGCTGGGCAATTGGTTGTTGCCGCCTCTTGCATGATTACGGGAACGCGGGTTTTGTAGAGACAGTACGAGAGCCTCCTCGGACGATGGACTTATAGGGTTAAGGAAGGCTGGTGCGGGAAAGAAACCAAGATCTGAAGGTGCTAGGTCCGGTTCGCTGGCAGCAGAACGCTGAAGCCTGCTCGAACTTTTTGCCCAATTCCAAAGTTTGGTGCCACTGTTCTTGCGTGGAGCCTTTTGAGCGATCTCGCGTTCCGCCCAGTATCCTTCAGGAAACCATACCTATTCGAATCCGTCCTTGGGAGACCGTGGGGGATCAAAAATGGATCTTCGTCGTGTTGTTAATGGTGATTCGTTTGCGATTCGTCCGGTGGCCATGGAGCTGGGCGTCGACTGGGGTGCGATGTGTGATGTTGATATATTTGGCGCCTGCTTTCCAAAGTATTCACATTCAAACGCTGGCTTAGGTGTGCTAGAGCCATCCCAGCTGTCACCAGGTGTGTCTGAGGATCCGTTGGGAATAATGAGCCGAAGAGCAGTCTTGAATGATAGCCTCTGCGTACCTCGCTGGGATTCAGGCAAGGTCTGCGAAGAAGAACTGCGAGGAATTTATTTAGTTTTGTATGCGTGGTATTGCCTCTGCAACGTTCTTACGATCTTCTGCGAACCTTGAGGGAGCTCGAGAAAGAATCAGCACATCCGGGAGGTTCAGACCCCGATCCTCGGCGTGCCATCACCTCACCACTACTACTAACCATTGAAGCATGTGCCATGCTTTAGGATCTGATTATACGTGGGATTGATAAAAATGATGAGGAACAGGCGGATAAATGCAATGGAATAGGTATTAGGTTGGAGCGCTAGGACGTCTTCGCGGACACGAAAGTCCTCGAGGTTTGGGCGGGAAGCCATCCAGTAAGTTTTGTGCCACCAACATCACTCCTTAAATCATCACGTACCTTCCTACAAGAAAAGCCGCCTCCTTCAATTTACATCATGCCGGATTCAGAAGTAACAAATGGGGAGGGGATAAAGAAAACTGCAACAGGTGCTCGGGCATTTGCCTCTAAAGACCTCAGGGCAAGGGAGCGCACCATATCCGATACCCGAGGGAAGGAACCGTACACTGGCAAAGCAAGATTTCAGAATCCATTCGATTAGGATTGCGGGTATCAAATTCAGACCTGCTAACGCCTTTTAATGCCCAGGGGGTGGCCAAGCTCCAACTCCCATGTCCCATTTTTAGTTCGTTCAGTCCACAATCATTGTATCATCGCCGTCAAAAGCTGCATTTTGCTGCTCGACTGCAACGCCCTTTCCTCTACCCGCCAACAATTCCCTCCTAATCTCGGGAGCAATAGCAACATGGCCGTGCGACAGGAGCAGGTCAAGAAGTGACTCACGCTGATCTTCACTCAGGTCGTTCTTGTATCTCTGGGCAAACGCCAACAAGCTCTGGTGGAAAACAACGGGCAGCGACCTGACCATGTCTCCCGAGAACGACTGGCCCTCCTTGATGGACGCAGGGTCGACGCTCCTGAACCTCAGGAAATGGAACACCAATGAATCAATGACCTGGTACGGAAGCGCGTACTTCTTCTCTAACAAAGTCTTGATAAAGATGTTTGCAGCTCCTCCGCCCTCTGTACCCGCAGATGCTTCCTGGGCGGCACTGTCGTTATGTTAGCCTCTTTTTATCAATATCTTTGGGAAATACTACGCACATTTCGGTAATACCCTTCAAGGCAGCTGCAGAGTGAAGCACCGGAACTGAGACTCTAGCGAGGACAGCAGAGACGATATGCGCCTCGCGAACAGTGCAGCCGCTAGAGAGCAAAGGAAACAAGAAGCCCAGGAAGAATGCCCGAGGCTTGTACAAACTCTTCTTGAGTGCATTGAACAAGTGGACGTTCAGCTTCTTGTTCTCATAAATGTCTTCGCGAACCTTGTCTAAAACGACAATCTCCATGAACTTTTGGCACACAGTAGGCTTGGACGAAGAAAATATCCTCGTCGCCTGGTACACGGCGTTGGGCGTCCACTTCTGGGGCTCCGTAATCTCGATGATATCCTCCCAATGCGGCAGAGTGGGCAGGATCTTGAAAGGCTTTGGCAAAGGACCGCTTTTGTATCGCGACAAAATTTGGCCGATCCTACCGAACGTTAGCGATGAGTTCATCCAACCAACATTGGCTGAACCACATACTTTGTGTACACGTCGATGACCTTGGGAGGAAGCTGATAGTCCTCGTCCACAGGCATGACACCGGCAGCTTTCCTAGCTTCCGCAGCCTCATGCGCCGCAATCTTCTCGAGGATAAGCTCTGTCAGGTTGGTGCCGCCGCCGGCCATATCCTCGTCAGCGCCCTTGCTTCCCCAGCCGGCCTGGTTCAGCATAGCTGCGGGATCCTCATCAGCCTCGGGGAGAAACTTGCGATAGGTCTCGAGATCTTCAGGGTCGATCTCAACCTCCTCCACAATCTCATCTTCGTCACCCCAAGCCTCCTCATCTTCGTATGTCTGCTCGTCACCGTCAACGTCGGCGCCATATCGCGACTCGATGCCGAAAAGGTCAACGCTGGGTTTCGCTGAAGCCTCCGGCTTTGCAGGAGCATCTTCATCAGCCAGTTCTCGGCCTAGCCTCAAGATGGTTCGACTCCGGGTCGCGTCGACGAAATGGTCGCCATTGTCCTCATCGTCGCTGTTCTTGCCCTTCTTCTTCTTCCCAATCTTGTTCTTCAAAGGGCCCGTAGCCAGGATGTCATCCTGTAGGGGGTTGTGTCTGCGCGCCTGGCGGTCGGTCGGGGTGGTCGCTTTGCCCATTTTGATCTTGATTGAACACAAATGGTCGTGGCGGAGAGCGTCGGGCGGATTGGCGGTCGCCCTCTTTTTTTTTTCTGTGAGCCTGGGAAATTTTTGATTTTCTTATCGATTTGCCCCGCGCCTGATTAGTGCCCAGAACCCTGGACCGGCTTTTAGTGGGCCATGTACAGCGTTAGACCAATCAAACCCCTGGGCCTTGACTTCATCGGCCACCACAGCGAGTGCCCCGCCATAACACCCCACCAAAAAGCTTCTGCAAGTGACTCTCCCGGTCTGTCTTACAACGAGAGCGAGACAACTTGCTTGGAACAACATTTAAAAAGTTGGTAATCTTGTGGCATTTCTACCTATCTCACTGAAAATCACCTTAAAATTCTCGCAAAATGCCGACAGAACTCGAGGAGGTATGAATCTGTTCCCCCGGCGGGGTAGAGTCAACTCATCTCATGACATGACAGCTCGTGGGCTTCATCGCTCATCCCAACCCGCAAATCAGACAAGTTGCCGCTGAGAACCTTGTTGGCTACTCCCAAGCGCAGCCAGCCATCTTTAAGACAGAGGGCCTGACCCCCGTCAAGCACCTCAAGTTTTTAGTCAAAGATCATCCTGTAAGCCACTACCAGGCGGCGTCTTCACCTCAATCAGGGCACTCATTCGTATTTTTAGAAAATTGCCGAACATGTCCTCACAATTCTCGTCAACCTCACAGCTGAACAAGATGTCCTGGAAAATGTTGCTACCGATGACAAGTTTATTGGAGTTCTTGTGGACCTTATAGTTGTGAGTGCATCTAATAAGCATTTCCGCGAGATGGCGGCGGCTGACCACTCTTAGAAACCAAATGAGCCAAACGCCAACTTGATGGCCATGCTTCTAGCCAACATGGCAAAGTGGGATGGTCTTAAAACCATTGTGACCAGGAAGCAGACTCCTCCCGATGAGCTCAAGTCCAACGACCTCGTGCTTAACCAGCTTATCGACCTTTTCGTTAAGGAGAAGGGCTACAACAAGGACGCGGACTACGACTACCTGGCCTACCTCTTCGCTGATCTCACCAAGCACGCCGAAGTGCGACAGCACTTCGTCACACGGCAAGACTATGATGAAGTCATTCCTATTACCAAGCTCAAGGTTTTCACTGAGCACGAATCTGAGATTCGTCGGAAGGGCGTTGCAAGCACCATCAAGAACGTCGCCTTTGAAATCCAGTTCCATTCCACCTTCCTCGATGAGGATGAGGTCGATATCCTTCCCTATATCCTTCTTCCCCTGACGGGCAACGAGGAGTACGACGAGGATGACATGATGGGCATGCTGCCCGACCTTCAACTGCTGCCCCCCGATAAGAAGCGCGACTCGGACCCACGGATCATCCAGACGCACCTCGAGACACTGCTGCTGCTCACCACAACACGGGAGGCACGCGATCTGATGAGAAGAGTCAAAGTCTACCCTATCATCCGTGAGACCCACTCACGCGTCAATGATGATGGCGTCAAGGATGCCTGCGACCGGCTGGTCCAGGTTCTGATGAGAGATGAGGCGCCGGCTGAGGGCGAGGATGGGTCGGACACGAAGCAGCTGACGAATGGCTCCAGAGTTGAGGAGATTGAAGACGACGACAATGAGATTGTCGAGGTTTAAGGGGTCTAGCCCGAGTTTTCTTTACGTCACGGCTTATGTAGAGGAATACCCTGGTCCACTGAATGATCATGAAAAGTTCTTGGTTGCAGCATTTCTGTCACCAACTGAAGTGACTGCCTCTCCGATCGGTGAAACCACAATATGACAATTGTTTCGTTGTAGGACAGGCTGCACATACAAATTCCAACCTAGCTCACGATTCTCGTCCACTTAATTAATCAACAGTGACAGTAACCTTGCTCTTGTCTACAACAACTCATCAATACACGCAAACCAAACTGCGAAAGCCCCAAAGGGTAGCAACCGAACTTACAAAAGGCAACATGGCCCTTAATCTCCTTGGCAGCGTCCAAGGGCGTAGGATAGTACCAAGCCGCGTTGTCCAACTTGTCATCTAAGCAATAATCACCCGGTCAGCCAGTCAGTCACATGCGACGGCAACGACAGATGGGCGTTCGGCCAGACGAGACACGACTCACCGCCGACCTTGAGCGAGTAATAGCTCGCCGTGCCCTTCCACGGGCAAAACGTCGTGTGGTCCGTCTTCTGCAGCACGTCCGACTTGACCGACGAGGGCGGGAAGTAGACGTTGCCCTCGACCTCCTCCCACTCCGTCGTCTCGGCGACAGTGGTACCGTTCACGACGGCCTTGGCGTTTCCCGTCTTGGTCATTTTTGATTCGTGTTTGTTATGTAGGCTGGCCTGGAATACTTAACCTGAATGACTTTGGCCCAGATTTGATTTGGGGTTTCCGAGCTTAGATAGTTAGTTAGGTTGTTTGGGGTGTGGTTAACTGTAGTGGACGCTACCCCAACCGATGCGGGTGGGGATGGAGATTGACTGCGCCGGATTAAGGTTGCATCGTTGAATCTTCGCCATGTATGTCACGTCATTGGCCTTTCATGATTTATAAGACAAGCAATGTTGGGTCAGACCGTCCAATGAATTGCACATGTCCGTGCTTTGGCCATGAGCCGCATGAAGTGGGCATATCGGCTTCACGCGATGTAGTGAGGATTTGTAATCTTAACTGTACCATTCATGTATGATTATGATAATTCTTCTATTGCTTAATGCTAAACTACTCCCCCTAACGCCGGCTGGGTATATGCATGTGTTCGTTTAAAGATAAAAACAAGAAACATCATAGGTTGATGATGTCGATCTCGGAAAAGTCGGGAGGGTTTGCTCCGTACACCACTCTGACCTTACTGTCGAGCGCGGTACCCTCGTTGCTTATCCAAATGTGCTCGCTAAACTCCTTCGTCCGCTTAATCTCATCGTCGCTAACCCCAATGTCGTCACGAGGAAGCCAGACCGCAGGTGCTCGCGCCCGAAGAGCGTAGTGCTTGAACGCGTTTTTAACGAGTGCATCACGCTCCTCCGGCGTCAAGTCTTCGATTTCGTCGTGGTACCCACCAAACAGCGCGTCACCGAGTGCCCGTTGAGCCTCTAGGTCCTTGTCGCGTTGCTTACGTCGGTAATCGGCAGCGGTTTTGACGGTGGATGGACCCATGTTCCAGGTCTTGGTGCGCAAGTTCTTGCCACCTTGCTTCGCCCAGTGACCGACGTTCTTGACATGGCGCATAGTCGACGGTTTCCGTCTAGGGGAGGCGTCATTCATCTTTTGCAATTCGATGCCGCGGGGCTCCGAACTGGTATCGTTTGCATTCCTCATGGGCGTCTTTTCGTCATCCTCTTCATCGTCATCCACAAGTCCAAGACGTCGATTTTGGGCGCGTTGAAACGCCTCGTCCCTAATCACTGCCTCATCTTCAATCGTGATGGGGAGGTATCGGAAGAGTGGCGAGAAAGACGAGTTGAGTGAAATCTGATAAACCGCTGTCAGACCAAGTGCCACTAGCATGATAACACCTTGCGGGGTGGCTCTTGGTTGATTGTGCTCATCCACCACTATGAAAAACAAGCCTGCCAAGCAAGCCTCCATCACGTACAATCCCGTAAATGTTTGGTTGATCGCACGAGGGTATAAGACGCCGCCTGTATCAGTCTCAAAACGCGTGATGTAGAGCATGCTATACCGCTGAGCAAACCACAGCAACCCAAACGTCAGGACTGCAAAGAGAGAGATCAAGGGAGCGACGACGCTATAGATCAAGGCAATGCAGGCAAAATTGGTGTAAACGGGGAAGAATTGGCCCCAGGCGATGGTGGAGAGCGTCGTGTTTCTCTTCCATTTGGCTCTGGCCGTAGAGTCAAAAATGCGTGCCAGTAAGTACCATGTTATGAGGGCACCAATTTGAAGCAGAGTACCAGAGCTCACAGACAAAGCCTGCAGCATCATGTAGGAGAAGAAGTAATTGGCTGCTTTGGGAAGATTTTCAGCCAGCGTCTTGAGGATGTACTGCACGCTCTGGAGCTGTTCAAGATTGCTCCACAACTCCTCAACAGAGGCGGCAAAGAAGGATGCAATCGAGACAACAAGAAAAACTTGAATAAACAGGAAGATGAAGTAGCCCCGCTGGACGAACTCAGCTTTCTGGGAACCTGTTTTGACGCCTCGGAACAGTGCCAGTTGCTCTAATATCAGGGGGACAATAATGAGTAGAAGAGCGAGCAAAGCGGCGGGCAAGACACCGGCGACGGCACCAGCAAGTTTCTTGACCCGGTCATGTTCCTCGATCCATTTGAGCCAGGGAAATTGTCGTATGAGGGAGTCAATGTTCGCAATCGAAGCCGAGAAGGCGACGGGAATAGCCCAAAAGAAAGCCATAGCTGCAATGACCACAGTGACTATGCCGGATCTCAAAGATTCTTCCCACCATGCCATGGCCATGTTATCCCAGATCACGTCCTTCGGCGAGACTTCGTTGATTCGAGGGGACATGTGTTTTGGCACGTGATGCATCAAACTTTGGCATGCCATATGCGCCGAGACCTGATGGTTGAACTGGATGAAGGCGGAGTTCATAAGGGGATAGCGCTCTGGGTGGGCTTGGTCCTCCTCGATCTCGACGTTCAACCTTGCAAGCTCAGAACGGCACCAATAGATAGTATCGACTTTGGGACCAAAAGTGAGCCAAGCAAGCCAGTCAGGGAAGCCCCAACGCGGCAGACGATGAGTTGGTCGGTCCTTTTCCTTGACCCATTTGCGCCACTCTGCTTCATCGTCCAGAATCTTCTTATAATCGTTGCCAACCGCACTCCACTCGGGATACTCGACTGGATCAATTTCGTCATCGCCCATGAATGGAATGAACGATTTGATCTTCTGCCATGTGGTCTTCTCTTTTGAAGAACTGTTAAATGGGTATTCGCCGGGATCATACCCTTGGGGAATGGGTGACGCGTAACCACCGGCTGGTGCTTTCCAGAACTGCCAGAACTTTCGGGTTTCTTGGTCATACATATGATCCAGATTGCTAACCTTTCGTACAGTATTGCCATTTCCGAACGGCTCGTAGCTGTTCTTGGGGCCTGAAGTTTCCTGCGTGGCGGCTGATGCGTTTCGGGAATGGGTCTTCTGGTGAGTCTCGTTGGTCGCATACTTCCGGAGCTGCTCCGCATCACCCTGGACGCTGGTCGCTGTCGCTGGTCGCTCCCCTTCAGCTAGGATCTGAACTTTGCGAGGCCGATTGGTAGGGTGAAGCATAGCGAAGCCATTGGTTGTCTCGATAGTATCTTCGACGTCCTGGCCAAAATCTTTGATTTCCTTTTGTGCTTTGCCCACGCCCCCAATCAAACCTTTGCTGACCTTGGTAAAGCCGTCGCCGATGACACTAAGCCCAAAGCCTCTGGACTGAGGGCGGTTACCGTCTTCAGAGGAACTTGCGGATGAGACGCTTGATCTTCTGGACTTGTTGTCTCCATCGTCTTCCATAACGGCCCTGACATCGTGGGGGACCTCTTCGTGTTCACCAGAACTGATGCCCTGACCAGCCTGCGCTCTCTTTCTAGCTTCATCATCCTCTCGCTGTCTCCTAAGAGCTTCCTCCTGCTTGGTCGGTCCTTTAGTCTTCGACTGCTTTCTGGCAGCCTTTTCCTCCTTCTTCCTTCGTTTTAGCTGTTTTCTCTTTGCGGTTTTGATAAGTTCTGTTTCGGCGTCTTCTAGCCTAAGGTGGACTCTTTCGCGAAGTTGAATCTTTTCGAGGAGCTTATTCAAATTCCTGTTCAGCCAGATGTTGCGGATCTGACCTGGGAAAACATCGAATAGACCAAGTAAGGCTTCCTCGGTGAGCCACTTGGAAGGGATGCCATTGACAAGAATTGTCGTTGCTGAGGCGCGGAGTCGGTGTTCGGCGCTTGTTAGATAATCCTGGCGGACTTTGATGTAAACTCGTAGCTCAAAGAAGAAAACCGTGCATGTCCAAACGATTACCAACAGTGCCATGATTAAATGAGCCCAGTACCGATTGGTGTGGTTGAACCCAACGTTTCCCCACGCCAAAGTGTCCAGGCCTGTCGGTACTTTGTCAACGGTACCGTTGGTGTCTTCGGCTCTGGCGTAGAGGTAGTCCCTAACGAGGAGCCGCGCGTTTGTAGTGTTGCTGGTATTGTTGTTGTCTTTGATACCATCATCAACGAAGTCATGACCCTGACCATCGCTATAGTTGAGGGGGATTAATATGGGAATAACCACAGCGGCAATTGGGATGAAGATGGTGAGAAGAGTCCTGAGATAACGCAGGAAGAAGTAGGCGTCTAGGCCACACTTCTTGATAACCTCGCGGTCGTCGAATTTTAATAACGTGCTGACCAACTTCCAAGGCGTGTTGGGGGGCGTCTCTGTTCTTTCACGTTCTGGAACCAGGTACGTCTTGGGTTTACTGCCAAAGAAAAAAACCAAAATCGTCAGCAGATATTTCTCGAGAAGGATGGTACAAGGAGCACACACAAGATACGTGCCAGCTTATTCCGTAAAACAAGAAAGGCGAGAATTTGAACAGCAAAGATCGTGAGACCAGTGGCCAACGCAGTAAGAAAACCAACAAGGGTCATTCCTTCATATCTCTGACCGCTACCAACACCGCCTGCAGTCTCCTGTATGCCGGTATTTGTTGGAGGAGCCGTCTCTGTTGTGGACGTCGAGGAAGTAGTGATAGTTCCGTTGGAGCTCAAAGTCGCCGATGCTGTAGCGGAAAGGGTTGCAGAGAGCGACGCCAGCGAGGACGCCAAGGAGGCGGCCAGAGACGACGTCTCTGTCGCCGCTGTCGGATTAGCCGACATTATGCACTATTTGTACCGTCAAATGTATATACTGCTGCCCATGTAAACGTTATCGGATTCGAAATCGCTGTTGAGTCGTAAGGAGTAAGAAATAGAGCAAAGTAGCGTGGGAGTAGATCGGGGCTAGGAGGGTTCTTGAGCAGCGAGTCGGTTCGTTCGAGGGTGAGGCTGGGGTGAAGTACTGATCACGAGGACAATGAGAATAACATTGCGTTGTCGTCAAAAATGGCAGGCGTTGAGAGAGGGAGACAAGGGGATGTCGGCCAAGCCGTCGGCAAAGAATGCCTGAGGGTTCTTGAAAAGACTGGAGGCGACCTTTTGTTGTTGTTCCCCAGTTGCTTTTACTGCCTTGAGCAGAAACAGAAAATAAAAGGATCGCAGAGGCAGAGGCACGGCGCAGACAAGACCCAAGAGGGTGCCAAGAGGGACCATCCAAAGGGTTCTTTCAAAGCAGGTGCAATTCAATGATTGGCCGACGAGGTACAGGATAAAACCTTGGGACCACGACAGGGGGTAGCACTACACTGCTTCAGTTTGCTGCAGAGGCAATCGCACTCTTTTCCCGCGTCGCTTCAGATGCCCTGCGGCCAGTGACATCAGTGGCTTCATTGGCCAGTCGCGTTAAACGAAACGGACCCCTGTCCTCCAGCGGGACGAAAGTGGGACACCGCCACGGTTCGCCATATTTCTGGCGCTGATGCAGTGGACTCTAATCCAATCATTTGCAGTATGCCACGGTCTGTGGCTCTCTCTTTTGGCAGGGGACCATGGCCTTGGACAGGAATTCTCCATCTACTGAGCTACTGTAACCCACTGACCAGCTGTCTAGCTGTCGCTGCCGCCGCTCTGTGCTGCTTTCTTAGCATCCTGGTGCTGTTCTGACGCAGAAATAGATCAGCGCGCGCTTCATCCTAACCACGATAATCCAATCGACCATGACAGCTTAGTTCCCTGATCCGAGAGTCTGGAGACCCGGAAAGCCACCCGGTTCTGTTAGGTGCTTGTGCAGATCGAGTGAATCGATATTGTCTGTGAACTCAATCGTCGCTAGCTTGGCTGTGGTTCGGACAGAAGCTGTAGTGTATGGTAGCACCTCGGGTTAGTGCCGCCCATGAAGTTAAACCAGGAAGACCTGGGGTGCTTAAGGCGAATCGCCGACGAACCCTCTCCACCCAAACATGGTTACCAATGGCGCTGTCATGGCACGAGGGGCGAAAGAGTGCGTGGCTGTGCGACAAGCCGGAAGACACTCACCGAGGGACCCAGATAGATATCCATCTTCATTTCATCAGGTTTTGGAATTCCCGCGGGAGGTGCACAGCTGTAATTACCAGCCCGCTTCAAACTTCTTTCCAGTGTGAAGCTTTCGCCGAGACGGCACAGCACCGCAGGTTCCTGCCGAGCAAAGGAATCTGCGGCCAAGCCATAATAGCCTTCAGTTGGATGGCATTGCGTCACCAAAAATTTCAAGACGTGTCGCGGAGGTTTGGCTGTGAAAAGTTCTTCCATGTATGGATACTGGCTCACGAGAATTCATGTCTTAGCAATACTATGTCGCCCAACCCCAAATAAACAATCGTCACATGAAGTGTCCAAATGGGGGAGCTGGAATCCACATTGACGAGTCAAAGCCTGTTATTAGCGACCGTGGCTTATCTTACCGCAATTACATGCCCTCCCCTATTCGTCATTCAACGACCGTCAACTACGTAGTACTGACCCTGTCCTGTCTTACCTTTTCCTTGAGCTGAGGTTCCAGCTGGCACATCGAACTGCCATGTACCCAACGTTGTGTGTATGTGTATGTCTGTCAGGCACACCCGCAGGGGACTAGTACCGAGCCATTGTGAAGCTCCACATCACTGCAAGTGTGAGGCAAATCAGACCAGCCCCGGGATCGGGGTGCCGTTTTCTTGAAGAATGACGACAATATTCGGCCTCCCTCCGCATTTTGGCCGAACACGGGGCATTTCTCCAAAGCTGGATGGCGCCCCCCAATAGCGACGGAGGCCAAGGTCACCACGGACATAATTGCCGGTACTGTGTTAACAATGCCGCTTGCAACCGGTATGCATAATTAGAAACATAAATTTTCTCATCATTTTGTGCATGCCGAGTATCGCTTCCGAATTGTGTCTGCGACGCCGTATCGTCGCATACGAGCCTAGCTAGCACTTACTATTACTGGCTAAACATTCAACACTGACCGCCCAGGTTGGTATGCGTTCGAAGATTCGGATTACCCCCACTACACCATCGGTGTAATCGGCAGTTGGTTTTTCAGCCAACATCATCCAGACAGCGCCTATTATTTACCGTTCCTCGATCCCGGTCCACTGCCAAATTTCCAAAAGTCAAAGGAGACATACAAGCATCCCCTCATTGTCGCGCGCTTCCCCGCTTCTCCAGCCGATAATGGTCCCCGAACTTTCTCAGATCCCCCACATTCCTCATGTGAGGCTCCATGGCCCGCGATTTCATAAAGAGCCTCAAGGATGACAATCACGGATGGTCCGGTTGAACTGAACTCCTCAGTTTGCTATGCTTCAGAGGCTTACTACGGTTCACTACCAGAAAGAATGTCAGACCCCAAAGATTTGAAGATTGCCGTCATCGGCGCCGGTACTACCTCCTTCCACGGCTTATATCTTTTTAGTTACAGTCCCTAATTCGATATCAACATAGGCATGGGCGGTCTGGGCTGCGCGCTTGCGCTGGCCAAGAAAGGCTTCAAACATGTTGACGTCTACGAGACTGCCTCGACCCTTGGTTTCGTAGGCGCCGGTATTCAGATGCCGCCCAATGTCGTCCGGACTCTCGACCGCCTAGGTTGTTGGCCTGAGATCGAGAAGGAAGCTACAGATGTCAAAGGCTCGAGTATCAGACGTATGAGGACCCCGGTTCAAGATAGATTACCCGTCTCAGGGGCACGCTCAACTAACGTCCGCAAACAGAGGGGTCAACCAATGTCGAGCTCGCTCATGTCGACATGCCCAACATCCGTGAGCTCTACGGCTACCCACACTGCAACGGCCACCGCTCGTCTCTAGCTGGCCGCTTGTACGACGCCTGCAAGAAGGAATCTGCCGTCAAATTCCACTTTGCAACCTCACTGACGGCCGTCAACTCGTTTGACCCTAAACCAAACTTCACAGTGCAGCCACGCGACGGAGAGGCCTATTCCGTAGAATCCGATGTCCTCCTCGCCTGCGACGGCATTAAGAGCACCGTCCGTTCCGCTCTACTTACAGCCCTCGGCGCCGAGGGCCTGGAGGAGGAAACGGGTCAGGCCGCCTACCGAATCATGCTTACCCGTGAGCAGATGGCCCATGACCCCGAGCTCCTCGCCCTCCTCGACTCGGACGATGTCATCCGGTGGATCGGCGAGAAGCGCCACATCATCGCCTACCCCGTCTCTTCCCACTCCATCTACAACCTCTCGACAACCCAGCCCGATTCCAACTTCGCCGCCGCGACCAACGCCACATACACCACCAAGGGTTCCAAGTCAGCCATGCTGGAAGTGTTCCACGACTTCTGCCCCTTGGTCCACCGCATGCTCAACCTCGTCCCGGACGGCCAGGTCTGCGAGTGGCGCCTGCGCATGCACAAGCCTCTGCCGTCTTGGGTCCACACGGACGGACCCGTGGCCCTCCTCGGCGACGCCTGCCACCCGACGCTCCCTCATCTAAGCCAGGGCGCCGCGATGGCCATCGAAGATGGCTCCGTCGTCGCCGAGGTGCTCTCCCGCGCCCCGGACACGTCCCCACAGACCCTCCGCCGGTGCCTCAAGGCCTACGAGCTCTCCCGCCGCGAGTGGTGCTCCCAGCTCGTCAACATGGCCTTCCTGTCCGGCAAGCAGCTGCACCTGGGCGAGGGCAAGGCCAAGGAGGAACGCGACCGCATGTTCGCCGAGCACAAGTCGGCCGGCGCCGTGCCGGACAAGTGGGCCTCGCCCGACGTGCAAAAGATGATCTATTCCAACGACTGCGTGGCCAATATCCAACGAGACTTTGACGAGCTGTACAAAAGCCTAGCGTAGAGATAAAACATTCCTTGAAAAATACAAATGCTTTTTCGTGCATTGAACATCTGATGTTTCCGCATGAGCGAACACTGCTTTTCCCCCTCCCGCACCCCCAAAGAAAAAGCACCCGCGCTTGGCATTCGAGGCTTAGTCGTCAAAGTGGCTGGCTGTGGTTTTCCCCCCCGTGTGTTCCGGACGGTTACACTCCCGCCTCCGTAGACCAAGCCACAAGATTGCAGCCAAACCTACCTGTACGGTACCTTGACGGCTTGAACCCCGCACCAGTCTTTCAGCCATCTGCTTCAGACAAATAATCATTACAGCACAGAATGAGATGGGAACAATGGAGAACAAGATGAAGTCGCACCCGTGATGAAATTATGCCTAAGGGCTCGACAGGCCGTCATAAACACGTCTTCAAGACGACGCGACTAATTACAAGGAATCAAAAGCCAGCCCCTCCCCACGACATTGAAAGTAGGAAAGAAACCCAAGAATCGGATAGGAACCCCCAAAGTCTGAGAATATTTTATGTCGATGGGAGAAAAAAAAAAAAAAAGAAAGAAAACGGAAAAGGAGTCCAACTACTCTGAATCCTCCGAGACCAAGAGAAGGAGGAAATTCTTATCGAGGCCATGACCCTACTCTTTTCTCGCGTATATTGTCCCTATTCGCCCCTGACGCCGTGTGCATAAATGTATGCCCTCTTGCAAAAGTAGTACTGGCACGCTGCCAGCTTATCGCGCTCTGGTCCCTCGGCTGGTTCCAGGGACTTTTTTTGGCCATGCTCCTGCTTGCCACCGCTCAGCGCGATGCGTTCTCGGCTCGTAGGCATCGAATGGCATCTCAAGCATCAGTTTCCAAGCTCACTTTGACTCTCAAAACTCGGTCGCATCTCTTCGGGTATCGGTAATCGGTTAATCGAATCGCTTAGAACAGGCAGTCGAGACAGCAACAGCACGCAAGAGCACCGAGAAGACCGGCCATGAGACCGCCGCTGCCGCTGCCGCCACGGTTATCCTGGTAGTAGCCACCCGGGGGCGGGTATCCAGGTCCGCCGGGGGGGCCGTATTGCGCTTGAGGGCCGTAAGGTCCGGGGGGATATTGTCCAGGAGGATACTGGCCCGGAGGCGGGTAGGGACCCTGAGGGTAACCCATCTCAGGACCGGGAGAGTAGTAGGGTCCTTGGCCTGGGGGAGGAGTGCCATAACCACCGGGGCCCTGGGGCGGCGGAGGGGAGCCGTAACCCTGGTAGGCTTGCTGAGGAGGTTGGGGAGGAGGACCGCCGTACGCGGGAGGCTTGTCGTGGTCGGCCATCGCGATGGTTGTTGTCGGTGTTTAGGTGAAGTGATAGCGTAGATGGGAGAATTATTCTCGATTCGGATGGTTTGTAATCAGTGTGAAGCGACAGTTGAGCGGCCGGCAATGACAAGGAGCGAGATAATTCTCGTCTATGATTTCCGTGCAATCCGATGGAAATGCAGGCGATCGAACCTCCCCTTGGTCGTATGAAGTGGGTGTTGAGGCTGTGTGGTGTGTGGATGAAGGATGGATGGGCGGGTGCACAGCGTTGCAGGTGGGAAGAGGAAGGTACTTAGATTAAAGTAAAAAAGAGTGGATATGGATAGTAGAGTATCCGCAGAGCCACCAGGGAGAACGTGGCGATGTTGGGGGAAGAGAGAGATGCACAGAAAGTAGCCTGCTGGTGGATGGGATGGATGGGCAGATTGGATGGGAAAAGGCCAAGCCGCAGCATGGGCATACGCGGCAGGCGTTGAACCTCTGCAGCTCTGGTGAGGGAGGGAGGGAGCCAAGGGCGTAGGATCAGTAAAAAAAAAAAAAAAAAAGTGGTCTCAAGAGCCTAAAGTTTTGCTGTGCTCGTGACTCTAGCCTGAAATGGCTCATGCGACCAAGCCTCTGGGCAGCGCGCCGCCTTGAACTTATCGTCTTGGTGCGTCCCGGTTGGGACGCATTCGATGGCCATATTCACAAGGTGTTTGCTCTTGCCATTACACTAGAACCAGAGGTATCAAAGATCGCTGCAGCTTCTTTGCTATGGGGATCCACCCAACTATTTCCTATACTACGTGGAGCACTTACACACACACAATAGCCAGTATGAATCCTTAGTACTCGGTACAGGAAGAAGAAATTGGAAGACTAGAAACATTTCAAACATCAAAAGGCAAACGGATAGAACAACACAAATAGGCCCCCAAACTCTCCCTGTCTCACATGGTGCTTCGGGTTCCGGATCAACGACACCCAATGATATTCAACCGAAAAGGGCACTGGTGGTTCGTGTCCCCATTTGCCCGCAATACAAACCCCCCAGCTGATGCTGTTACCATGCATCGCAACATGGGTGCATGGTAAGGCGGGTACCTCCCCTGTCGCTCCCCGTTGCTGCTCCCCCTCTCGCTTCCTCGCCCGCTTCGCAATTTTGGGGCGGGCGGCAGAAAGAGGGATCTGGGGAGGGGTTCCAAGACAAAGCTGACGCACCCTTCGCTGCCGAGGGAGAGACGACGGTTAGTTCAACGGTCGTGATATGGGGGTCCACTTCGGCTCCGTCTAGAGGAGCTTCTGGCTCGGGCTGAGTTGGGTCTTCCGGACACGGAGTCATTCGGGAGGCTGTTGGTAATCAATCACGATGCTGGACTTTGGGATTCTGGGCTCCGAAGCAGCCGGCCTTTTTGGCGGTTCATAAATCGTCTACAGTTCAATCCGGCTCAAAACCGTTTTCCACTAAACAGCTGGATCCTGCAACGACTTGTCTCCTAAGCGCCCATGGTGTTGAAGTCCTCATGCCTGTTGTCATAATTAGCTACAAACAACTCAAAGGTGATCCGGTCCCGGCACACTTGGCAACCCGATATTGCATCTTCATGTCCGGCCCGCTTACACATGATGGCAAAAATCTGATGTTCTGCACACATGCCATATGTCAGCAGCCTGAAGTTGGATGCAGACCGCATGAGCGAACAGACGCCGCTAGCGTGTAGTAAGTGATTAAATATCTTTGAAGAAGACACATCCTTGTGCATGCACGATCGCCTGCATGAACATATCTACAACATTCAACACTGAGGCCGTGATTGGTTTGTTTTCCCCCAGAAGCGTGACTTTCGTCTCAAGTGGTCCTAAGACGGACTTGTCCCATACCGGTACTCCGAGGGAATCGCAACTTGTCGGTCAACACAATTGCATTTTTTTCAATTTGGCTATTTGGCTTTCTTAACCAAGTTAACATAACCTGGGCCACTTAGAACAATTAGCAGCTCCTATTCCGCGTCCCATGAATATCTCCAGACAAGACCGCCTACTCCCTGCCGTAACCGCACCAGATTCAGTGATATTGCTATCCCAAAGTAAAAATGTACAGTCATAAGAAAATGACCATCTCTGTTCATACAATTCGCATCATCGAGATTGCAACCCAATTTACTGTGGCCCAATGTTACGCCTCCGAGGAACCTTTTCAGTTTCCTCTTGTTCGCTAACACAAAAGGATTCCCAGTTCCACTCTAATGATGATACCCCTATTGAGAAAAATGCGTTTCATTATAAACGGCATTGCTTTGCTTCGCTGCGCTACTCGATGGAGGGAAAAAAAAAAGAACTCCCTCGAGAAAGAAAGAACCTCTCAGCGTCAGAAACATTGCATTGTGTCAAGAGCTTGTTGATGATCCAAGAGGTGGTAAGCCTCTTCGCGTCAAGTCCTCGTTCACCTCGTCGATATACTCGAAAAAATGGCCTTGCATCGAGTCCCAAAGGGATGCCGGAGGTACTGTTTGACTCTTCGTCAGGCCTTTGCTAATATCGGGAGAAGAAGAAGACGGCTCACCTTCCAACACCCCGCTTCTCTCAAGGGCGAACTGTGTTACGGCACAATGCGTGCTGATTTGAAACATGAAAGCTACAGTCTCAACGTCAGCTAAATTACTTACGAGGTACAATGCTGTACATACCAAGAAATCCTTCGCCGACCCGCTGAGGCTTCAGCTCAATCGCGGTCGCCTGCTCAAATGCCTCATGAGTTTCTGTTTACTTGTAAGCAGGGACTAAGTTGTGTGAGGACCATTCGGGTCATTACCTCCGTGAGGCATATAGCTTGACTGAAAGCTAAGTCCGCCAGCTTCCAGGTTGCGACTGGTACCCTTGTAATCTCCATGAATGATCCCCACGACTTCAGTTGCCATATTTCGGTGGTAATACTATGCATGTTAGCGAAGAAACTGATGTATTAATCGGAAGGCCGTACGGGAGGGCGAAAAGTATTGGTTGCTGACGACCACTTCGGCGTGAAAAACATGAAATCGGTTATGGGTACACCTGGAATCTTGGATTTGGCTGTCAAGACCGTATACAGGCTAGGATCGGCTTGGTCCTTGTCCACGAATGCTGCGTTGACAAACTTTTCCGCAGCATACTTGAACGGCACATAACTACAGCAGGATTAGCCTGTTCGTAATACAACGCGAGGGTGCGGTTGGTATGCGTACTTGCCGTCCCATGCCACAACGTCGAAAGGCGTGTGATCCTGCCTGCAAGACCATAACTTTCCTGCCAACTTGTACACAACTTATCTTATGTCAGCTTAATTCGAAGGTTTGAATGGCAGGCAGGTTCGCGTACTTTCCCACTCAGATATATCCATGTCGAAGGAGGCCACCGGAGACTCGAAATCACGTGGAAGAGCCATGCCGTTGCTTCCCAATGGGCCTAGTTCTGGAAGCTCGTAACGGCTTCCGAACAATTCCTGTATGTCTGCATCATTTAGTTGATCGTTAGCTGCAGAGGAAGAAACCAGAACCTACAGCCCCTCGAAGGTCCATCTGGCAACTCAACCTTGAATCTAATGCCAGATTGAATGACGGCCAGCTCCCCAGGCCTCACCATCATCCTATGATAACAATCAATGTGTGCCCAAGGCTTTCAGGGGTTAAAGTTACTCTACCTCCCGAATTCTGTCTGAATGTCAAGCCTCCCTAGCTGGGGAACAAGAAGCATATCGCCATCGTTGCTGCAGAATGCACGATTTTTCATTGAGGCGTTCGAGCTGTAGACGTGCACGGCTAGGCCTTCTTTTGTCGTTGGGTCCCCGTGCCCTACTATTGTCTTGAGCCCCTGAACAAAGTCCACTGTCGGACCATCAACGCTGGGAATGGGAAACGCCCTCCAGCAAAGCGCTCCGGGCACGAACTCAACATTTTCATTCAAGGATAGGAATTTTGACTCAATCTTGACAAGTCAGATGGTCTGAGATCTAGCAGATGACAGATGGTTAGATGCTGACTCACATCTGCATTATGTGGTACTTTGGCAAGATTGCCGTGAGCCACAGAGGGGAAAATGCGATAGAACCAAGCATTCTGCAAATTTATCCGGGACGATACAAATGTCGAGCCGTTCAGCTGTTCTGAGTAGAGGTTGTACTTGACTTTCTGCGGAACATTACACGAGCGAGGGAGGGTTCCAGGACTTCTTAATTAGCCCAACGGCTTCTGAAGTTGCATCTCCATCATCATAACTTACATGGCTTCGGAGGAAAACCTGTTCCCAAATCCAACTTGGTAGGCATATGGATCATCCGTGGTAGGCTCTGTAGAGAAAGCATGTTGGGCAGAAGCACCGAAAGTTGTGGATGGATCTACGAGGTCCGGATACTTCTTAGACTTGTAGACGATAGATCCCATGGCTGATCGGTTTTGACGGAAATGGACGAAATGAACGACTGGATAATGATGTCCATGTGTGTGACGGGAAGTACTTGAGGAATGAAGGTGATATTGTCGTATGCCAAAGGGACTTGGGAGTGATAAAGGTCAAGCTTACTCTAAGACGTATGTGGCGTCTGGCTACCGCTGAGGGAACAAGTAGCCTGGACCGAGAGTAGGGCCCTTGCTTCCGATGACACTAAGGTAGATCAATTTAGTAGCCTTTGCTTGCGCAGACATTGATCTTGGATATCCTGACAATAGTGAACAGCATATTGGGATGTATCCGAGGGACCGGACAAGGAGAACGTCCCTTTCCATTGCCTGCCGGGACAAGATGTATTCCTGTGCATCCGGTAGGGCCCTCCTGCTGTGCCCCCCTCCCTAAGCGCCCCCACTGCCATGGACGAGATGCTGCAACTCAAAGTGAACACACCTACTCGGGTATTGGCCAGATCTCAGGATGTCACTGGGAGGTCGAAACACTAGCGCAATGTCCTCTCGGAATGAGCAGATGTAAGCTTTGGCCAACCCTCGCCGTTTGCGCAGCCAACGGCCCTAGTGGGAAATATCAGACCAAGCCGCTCCAGAGTCCCGTCCCGCACAGGCGCTGGCGATATCCGCCGGTTGGCCTGAGCTGATCTTTTGCTACAGGTTCAGCTGGGATAATGGTACGCGTCGGTCGGTGTCCGAGCCAGGATCCCGTGTTTGGCTTCGAACACCGCTCTGCCTCGAAATATGTAGATGTGTGGTAAATTTGGAAGTGTCAGGAGACGATCTCATCACTTCACCCTCGTTGACTTCTGTACGCAAGCCTGCTCGCCTTCTCCTGTTCGTTCCGCCGGCCTGCTCGGCTATCATCTGGCTATTTAGCGGTGTCTGCCCCGGCCCCGTGGAGACGAAGGGGACGCCATGAGGCTATGTTGGATGAGGGGTGCAAAAGTGCAAATAGCTGGGCCAGGTGACAGGTGTCACATCCCTGGCAAGAGAGGCGGTAACCAGGCTCTAACTGGCGTGCAGTAACGCCATTACCCGCAGCCGGTAATCGTTAGCTCCAGATTGCGCTGAGATGGAACCCTCGGCAGTAGGTGATCGTCATATCTTTCTTCTGAACCTTCCCCAACTCGTGCACAGAGCAGAGACAATGTGCTGTACGTAATGCTGGTGGCTTATTAGAAATGTGGTGATTGATTGATTGACTGACTACGCCTTGACGTCAGTCTCAGAATTGGAATCCCACAACCAGGTTCCAGACCCCTGAAGCCAAAGAACTTCTTCAGTTGCTGTTGCCAGGTAGGTATCAACGATGGCATTTTAAAGGAAGGCACTGTCTGAATTGCGATACGACTAGTATGGCAGCACATGCCCTTCCTCGCACATAACTCCACGTGTAGTTTGCAGCGCAGAGTAGAAGGCTGGCGACATCAACTACCTGAGCATCAGGCGTGCAACAGACAGAGAGGCCCCTGCAGATTGCTGCTTGCAAAACCCCGCTGTCAAGGTTGGCTTTTGTGTTTGTTTGGCGTTGTCCCTACCTGAACCACCCCCTGATACAAGTTCAATTACCCAACTAGCGTCTCCCCTCGAACTCTGCCGCTTGTCTCCATCAAAGCTAGTTGAACTCGATCACTTAGGCGCACAAATGATTGACCGGACTTGAGGATATTAACCGCCCCTCCATGGCGTCGACTTGCCTGATTGCGCCCGCGCCCGCGTCCTCGAGATAGATACGGCTGTGATCTAAGGCACCCCTGTTTTTGGCCTGGGGCTTGCACTGATGATGTGAAGCAAACCCATCGGCATTTTTAGGACAATGGGCTGATTTTTTCAGAGGGGCAGGCGCAAATATAGCCTCCATGGGGGCAATGGCCGTCATTGCCTGCCCGGAAGCCTGAGATTGGCATTTTGGGGCGTGCGGCCAAGGTACGGGTAGTCCAGTAAGGTTCCTTAAGGTTTTCTTGACGCTGCAGCTAAACAGAGTCCCCCACACGTGAGGAGGAAAGATGAGAGGAAATCCTGATAGTACCGGGCAACAGGGGCACCAGGATCCAAATCCGGGTCTGGTAGGCACTTGCCGGACGCCGAAAAAAGGGCCTTCAGTGAAAGGGGAGACCCGGGGAATGCGACGCATTGCAATGGACAACTAACGCTATTGGGGGGAAACGACGCCGAGGCGGCTAAGAAGAACGAGGCGAGAGAGATTTTAAGATGATAATATCCGCAAGTAATGCAGGCAGCAATGGCATTTGGTTTCGCAAATACGGTTGCTTCGTGAGTGAGGTCGTAGTCGGTTAGGTCGATTCTGGTTGCAGTGCATTACAACCACATGAAGAACTACCGGAATACACCCGGTACCAGGGTGCAGGAGATGCTGGAGTCGTATACTTATGGGCTGTGAGCTGCAGATTTGACGATGCCGTAGGTCGGGCATATCGATGGGCAAGATGACCAGGAGGCAAAACAAAAGTTGAAGCGTGGCCGGGGGGTTTCAGGGAGAAGCCGGCGGATGCATCCCAAAATGGCCCCGTCTGCACGAGTACACGCATAGGTGTGATGGGACTGAGTTACTATTAGCAAAAGGAAAATAAGGTGGTGGGAAAGGCAAAATAGAAGAGCAGTGAGGCATTGGCATGGTGTCTCTTGCCCCGCAGGCACCATGTCTTGCGAGGACATGTAGTATACTAATAAGAGTCGTAAATCATACTGAGATCCCTGGCCCATGAGTCTGCGGCCCTAAAGGGATTCCCTCCCGCAGTGGGTGAGGAGGAGGTGGTCAGTGCGATTGGAGGTGCCGAATATGCGCATTTGCCTGCCCCGAACAATGTAACAATGCACCTGCACCCCCACTGTAAATTTGGCTTTAGATGAGGGGCAGTCCGGGTGTAAAGCAAGGGCTGGGTAGATAGGGCAGGGCGACCAAAAGCCCATCGGAAAAGGCAAAGAGGACTTCAACCTCAAGTTGGCGACGGACCAAAAGCTGTCCTAGCGGCACCCAGCAAGGGAAATGATGCGTTAAACCAGCCGCCAAACCTTGTATATCCAGTACTAAGCGTAACCACAAACGCACGGTTGGTGACATTTGACAATGGATAGAATAGGGTGGCGGTCGTCGTCAGCTGGGTGTATGTAGTCTGCTGTCATGTAAGTAGAGCATGCGGAAAAGCCATGACCGGCTCAGGTTCTGACTCACGAAAAGATGAAGTTAAAAAAAAAAAAAACGACGAAAATAAAATGGAAGAAAAATGGCTCGGAGCTGACGGGTTCCTGTCAGGCCAGTTAGTCACATTACCATGTTCCCTTAGCATCCGACGTTCAGTTTCCAGTTTGTAGTGTCCAACTTTGTGGCAGTTGCCAGTGTCCACTCCACCTCACCTCCCCGAAGGGGGTTTCCATCGGCTGCTCTCCACTAGGCTGTTCGCCCTCACTTAACTGGGAAGGAAAGAAGACCGTCTGTGAGGCGAGTGACTGGAAATCCCGGAAAAGGTCTCTCATCCAATCGCGAATGCCACCTGCCTTGCGTCTTCACCTCACGTCCACTTCCTTTTGCACTTCCATTGGCACTTTGCAGCACTCGTTCATCTCCATAGCCGTTGCCCTATCTCTCTTGCATTTGCCCTCACAGTCGCCTCAGGCATTGCATTGGTAGTGTCTTCTGATTCGCGTTTTGCCCCTGCCCTGCAGTATCACCCGTATTTCCCACAATCGCCTCATGCTGCCCTCATCCTCATCCACCAGCACCATCTGACACGAGCGTTCCAGCTTTCCGAGTCAATCATCAACACTCTCTCATATACACGACAAGCACTTAACTTACCGACTCAGAGGCATCAAATTATATCCCGAGACGATATTGATTGTTGTCTTCAAAACCCCGGGTCTAGCCTTGACCCCTACGTTTCGTTTGACGCATATATTTCGGCCCTGTTTTTGTTCGACGTAGTTGTAACACGGCCACCCACCGCGGACAACTCTCCGCTGTCACCACTTCCGGGGAGTATATCTCTGAATCGGACCAACGGGGGACATCCACAAATTGCAGATCCCGATTCTGAGCCTGTTTTGGTGTGCCTACTACATAGTCAGTACTGGCACACACACTCACACCATCGCAGCTTTTGTGTCTTCTCACATCGGCCCTGGTTCTTGTCGGTCATCTGCAAGACTTCGTCAGAGCATCCTTGAACACTGCCTCGATCAGAGCGGGCCAACATCGTCTTTCCTCGGCCATCCGTGCTCCGTCACCTCCGGCTCTACATCTCGCGCCTTGTCATCCAAGCTGACGAGAACTTCTCCCGGCAGGCACGTAAAACCTTGAGTCATCCAAGGGGCATGCTGGTGCTTCTTTAGGAATAGTCTTCCTCCCCCTAGCCTTTCGTAGGACATTTTGGGTTTTGCAAACTTTGCTAAACTTCACCTAGACGGGTCCTACAGTGATTTGCTGCCTACCAGCCAGCTTCACATCGGCGGGAAATCGCTTCGTTACGACATCGCAACTGCAACCGTCCCGCTCTGACAAGCGACCGCCCCATAAAGCATCCGCGATACTTCTGTATTGCCGACCTAGCTTCTGATAGGTAGGCTGACGCGGTGCCCATGACAGCCTGAACAGGGACGGTAGTCTGGACCATTAAACGACTAGGGGCACCTGGTCAGTACTGAAATCGCCACAGTTTCTCCTCGTGCGCTACGAAGGAGCAAATCGCACAACCTTGTACATCTCATCCTCCTAGAGCACCACTTCCGTTCAAAATCTCTGGTCGGCAGAAAGGGGCACATTGACAATCATGGCGGAGACCCTACACATCCCTGATGTGGATGCAGCCTGGCTTGCGCCGCATCTGCCGTCAAAATCTGCTCTCCAATTAGCCAAAACCCAAGACCGCCCGGTCGTTACCCTTACTTTTGCAACTTCGCTAGACTCCTCCCTTTCCCTCGCTCCAGGCGTGCGAACGCGTCTTTCAGGCCCTGAATCAAAGGCCATGACCCACCATCTGCGTCGTCACCATGCCGCTATTTTGGTTGGTGCTGGAACTGTCATCGCCGATGATCCGGGCCTGAACTGTCGTATGGATGGTGCAGACCTTGGTGCCCAACCCCGGCCTATTGTCCTGGATCCCCGAGGCCGTTGGGACTTCACTGAACACAACAAAGTGTTTGAAATCGCTCGGGCGGGCAAGGGGCTGGCCCCGTTCGTACTCGTTGGGCCAGCGGCTATTAACGCAGAAAGGCAGGCTGTCTTGGAAGCCCACGGCGGAAAGTTCATCGTCCTCGACACCCGAGAATCAGAACCGAAATTTAACTGGAATTCCATCATGTCAGTCATCCAAGCCGAGGGTCTGCACAGTGTTATGATCGAAGGCGGAGGACACGTTATCAATTCTCTCCTTGATCCCAATTACCAGAAGCTTGTGGACACTGTCATTGTGACTGTTGCCCCTACTTGGCTTGGATCTGGTGGTGTTGTCGTGTCCCCCAACCGAGTTGAACGCGAAGATGGCACACCTGTACCTGCCGCTAGACTGGCTAACCCAGCCTGGCATCAATTCGGCGAAGATATAGTTCTTTGTGGACAGTTGCATCATGAGGCTTAAAGTGAGGATTCCGACCGTCTTTTTCTGCATTTTTGGACTGACCGCTGATATTTCGCAGCAGGATAAATAAGCCGCCTTGATTATAGGAACAAGCTTCGATACTGAAGTGGAAATGTGGCTGGGTAGTCACCATGGTCAAGCAGGTATCACCGAAGCAACCCCTGCCTGAACGCCGCAGAAATGGTACCATTTTGACAATGGTTGAGACTGCCCCCATCATGTTAGGGCTCTGCAATGCAAAATATGACAGTATTTTCTTTCCTGGAACCATCAACAAGAAGTTTGGTCTGTCGTACCTCGCCTTTCTGGGTATACCCTCCGCTGTCCCTTTAAACCCCATCACATGTCCAACAGGTTCAGACCCGCCCCTGCAGTTTGATCTCTAGCCACCTGAGAGGGACGTAAAATACCGCCGTCGCCGCGAACGCCAACTCGAACCCAATATCTCCAGTCGTTCTCGCAATCGGTCCTGTGAACCATACCTGGTCCATCCCCGGTATAGTTAGTCCGAAGCTCAACATGCTCGCTCCGATGGCGGCCAGGCCAGAAGGGAGCATGCGGGCAACATTCCATGCCGCATGCTCGTATGAGTCATAATTCATACGCCGGAAGATGATCAACTCTTCAATAATAACAGCGTCAAAACAGCCAGCCCAATATCCAATCAAACCTAAGAAGTTTTCGAGAGAGTTTGCCCAAGACTCAGCGGCACGGATGGCCATGGGGATCATAATTCCCAGGGCGATGACGATGAAGACAAATCGGGGTACTTTGGTGAAGACTGGAAGCATCATCTGCATGCACAGTGCAACCGAGTACATGGAAGTTGCGATGTTACCGATTACCGTTAGAGCGAGGACCACAAGCAAGAATTTGCCGAAGCCACCAGCAGGAGCTAGCATCGCGGCCATGACACCTCCAATACCATAGGCGTCCCATCCAGCTTTCCATTCTGGGACGTTGTTGAGCGCGCCTCCGATGGCCGCACCGAGGATGAGAAGCGGAACTGAGGGTGTCCATATTCCGAGGTAAATGTACGAAAAGATTTTTAGTCTGAAATACGTTAGATCACAATTAACAGCGGGATTATAGTTTTTGGCTTACTTGGTCGTCTTATTCGGATTGTGATACGCGGTAAAGTCGGAAGCTATACCACCAAAAGTGATGAAGTACCCCGCCATCAGACCTCCGTAGTTCAGGACCTGTGCGGCGGTGGGAGGTGGCACCTCGGCCTGCTTCCACAGATGTTTACCGCCACATCCTACTGCTATTATGATTGCAATGAGACTTGGTAACCATTGCCACCGCTCCCACATGTGGAGCGCGCGATATCCGATGAAAGATGCAGCGAAACTGACTAGGCACGTAATGACGATGCCAACTTTCACATCTATATGTCCAGGATTAACCGCTGCAAGAGTCTGACCTCCAGCGATGGACGAAGAGAGGGAAAAGCCAGTCACGGTTGCGGCGTTTAGAAGGAGGGGTATGGAGACAAGATAATATCTGCAACCCCGCGCCGGGACAATCAGCCATTTGTCAGTTGTTCAAAAAAAAAAAGTTTTGCTCGCTTACCCAAAGGAATACCTTGCCTGGACGAGCTGCCTCAATCCAGTAAAGGAGCCCGCGATTCCCATAAATGCCGGGGGCACAATGGTCAGGCTCGCAAAGAAGATGATCACCAGCGACGCATCCCTAAGGCTCAGACCTATCTGGGCAGTGGCCAGCGCTCCGGTAGGGATCCTAGGAGATGTTAGTCGCTATCCTTTTGTAGGTCCGAGCCAAGACTCACGGCAACAAGCAAAGCAAACTGGAGAAAAAGACTGTGAAAAGGTTGCTGTAATTGGTATTGGTCCGTTCCTCGATTGGGACAGGTCGAATGCCATTCTCCTCCACACCAGCATCAAGAAGTTTTTGATACCACTGCGGGTTTCGGCTACGGTCTTTATGGTAAACCTCGCCCTCCTGAACAGCCAACAACTCGGTAATACCGCTATTACCTTTGGATACGGGAGACTGATTTTCCATGTCGTATGCCTCGGCCCTCTCCTTCTGGGAAATCGATGTACGGGCAGACATGGCAACAAAAGCAACTGAGATGAACGAGACGTGTCGAACAGCCGCTGCTTATGCTGCTTATGCTGCAATTACTGCTCTCGTATCGTTGCCTGGGTCGCAAGGCTTTGCTTTTCGAGATTTTCGTCCTTCGCCTTTGCTAGCTGTACACTGGAATACGCCAGTCTCAGGCTTGGAGTAATAACAGGGCAATCAACTGTCAGTGTCAGCCCAGAAGCGCATAACTAGATCGACGACAGTTCACCCGTCTGTGTGGCGTGGCTTCAAAACCCAAACTTGGAATGGCGGGCAGCTGGGGGGGTCGAAGCAGGCTCTCAATTCGACAAACGATGACCGAGTTACCTGCTTGTTTCTGAGCAGTGTCGTGAACACCTTCGTTCGGGAATGCTCAACTGGTACCGGTAAAAAAAAGTTGATAGAGGCGACAGCAGAATATAGGCGGTCTTGTATGGGCAAGTGCAAAGAAGTCACCATCCGGCAAAATCGGCCCGAGCAGCACAATATCTGGAGGTATTCAATGTGCGGGCGAGTTTGATTTTGAGTTCGAACGATCCGACAGCTGCTGAATAAATGGCACACCTGGGTAGAGAAGGCCTTCAAAGATCTTCGGGGGGCAGTAGAGATAGTTGGGGTGGTTGAGGGATCAGGTTATGGTCCTGCCTCCTCAATTAGCACATACTGTGCAATATGAAGGGAGGCGGTCGTTGTTCAGATTGGCGACAATATATAACGCTAGGATTACGACTCACCCATGTGCAAGCTCATGTCTCTCGAAACGGCTCGAGTCATCGTAATGCCTACAAACCGTCGAAGGGCATTCCTTGATAGAACGATTCCAGCCCCCGCAGCTACAGGTTGAGAGCACCGTTTCGCCTAAAGGTTAAACGGACGGAATGTCTACCGGAACAAGGGGGTTGGACGGGGCAGCATGGATGTGCAAATGCAGCAAGACGACAAGGAGGAAGGCGCAAGTCTTTTACGTTCCCACGATACACCGATGCTATTAATTCACATCCGCCACATGTCATTTCCACAAAGACATATTTAAACAATACGCGACATTTTTGTCGAGGCATACCAAGCATGCCAAGTGGGGGGTCATCCGTCAAGCGCGAAACAGGAAAGGGGGGAAAGCCAAAGCTGCGGATGAGGGGTAGCATGTCGTATCAGACGGGAACGTGAGCAGCAGCACAGATCCTGCACAATCTGAACAAGAGTGAATGCCTACCACCACCAAAAAAAAAAAAAAAAAAAAAAAAAGAGGGAGACACAGCGAAGAGCCAGTCATGGGGCTTCAGGTTTGGGCTTTGGCGTTGAAGACAAGTGCTGCGCCAGACACCTTCTTGATCCCTCTTTTCAATGGCCCCCAAATGGGTCAGAGTGTGCAAGGTTCGCAGATTCTGGAGCCAAACAACCCCGGGAACCCTAAGTAGAGGAGGGGAGGCCCGCCTGCACGACGATCGACCAGTCCGCAAACGCCGGCGTCGAGATTTAGTTAGGGTCTCTTTATCCCTATGTTAGTGCTTCTCCAAACCTTCCACCGTTGCTTCGTTGGGTGCGCCGTCTCGGATGCCCATTGCCGCACTAGCCGTTGTTGTTGGGCTTCTTGGAGGCTTTCCGGAATCCGGTGGTGTTCTGGAAACGTTCTCCCGCCCCCTTTGTGTTGCACTCTGCGGGACATCTCCTATCTCGATCCTTGTTTTTGCTCAAGTCAGTATGTCTCAATTGCACGTGGCGCCCTCGAGTTCGGGGATCTGCGTCATGTGTGACAGGGTCATGAGCTGTCCAAAAACTTTTGTTATGTAGCTGCTCCAGTTACAAGAGAACGCAGGCAGCTAGCTCTCTGCTGGAGCCCGGACTGTCCGTTGGACAGACAAGAGGTTGTACCGGGGTTTAGCGCTCAGTCTCCCCAGAGTTCCGTTTGAGTTTCTTCGGCCTTCGGTTACCACGGAGCCAAGTCAAGCCAGGAATGAACATGTAATTTTATTCCATGGTAATGAGGACATTGGTGTGCGTGTGTTCACTCACCATCGCAAAGCCCATAACGGCTTGGCAGGATTGACAGCGTCACGAGTCTTATTAGTCGCTCCTTGGTCGTCTTTTTCAGTTCATATCGAACGGATTTACATGCAAGCTGCATCACAGTCCTGTTCTAGGGAGTAGCCATCTCCTGCCTTTTACTTTTCATCTTTCTTCTTTTCTTCCTCCTCTTCTTCTTGTTCTCTCCTACTTCGTCTCAACGGGACAGCGAGCGGGTGGCAGGCAGTATTGCGCCCCTCCCCCCAAGATTCATACGGCCGTCCCCATCGGGAACAAGGGGGCTTAATTTCAGTTCACTTCGCCGTTCATGGCTTTTGACAGTTATTCGCTTTCTGGGCTTGAGGCATTGGCACAATTTCCTAGGCCTTAATCGTCGCGTTACGCCCTGCGATTAAGATTTTTATTGTGCGCAAGACTGACCTACAACCCTTTCTCGCGAGTCGTAACCTTGTTCATAAGCGGCTGAGCTACTATGAAGCTGGCATCGCGACGACCGACAGGGTAAGAAAGAGGTCTGGTGTCACCGGCATGAACGATTCAATACAGCCTGGGCTGCAAAAAAAAAAAAAAAATAGTTCCATGCGCAGGAGTCCGTGTCCTTTCTTTCCAAGTTGCTCCTCTAGCCGTAAATCCGTTAACAACGGCCACGACGGCTCATGCACGGTCACACTCTCTCTCCCCCCTAAGCCTGGCCGATGGCTAACGGTTTTGATTGCACCTCTATCGTTTGCAACCCCTCCTCCTCTCTTTTGGTGGCAGTGCTGATGGAGGGTAACATGGCTTATGCAGCGGCCTGGCAATGGAAGAACAACGTGGCGTCGAACATTGTGCATGACTCTTTGATGGCGTTCATCGATCTCCCACGATTTTAGAGACTGGAGGTCAAACTAGTGGCATACAATCAAGCCACAACAGTTATGCGAATGCCATCAGGGAAAGCCCAGCCTGCCTGGATTCGCAACCAGGACCAAAGTCTCTTTGCGCCGGCGTTTGCATTATGTCCAATCGGGACAACCTGGTCTCGAATTCGAACCCCAGTTGTCACGTTTTGTGGCTTGGGAGATGGCCCAGTCGGAGGCTCGTTATTTCATGGTGCCGGAAGTCCAGCCAAGCAACGGCGCTGGAGTTGTTATCCGCTTTGAAGAGATGTCGGAGTTGGGCAGAGATGAGTGTACTAGCCACTCAAAAGTTTGGAGAGTATCCCTGAGAGCAACTACGATCCACAGTTCCACACAAGTCTACGCAGCCAAATACGGAAAAATATCCATACTAATTACACGTATAATGTGGGCGTGTAGCGTCTTGAAATATTCCCGAAAATTGCAACGCTGGTTGGGGAATCAGAGAAGAGCGGGTGAATACCACTCCGTGTCTCGGCATTACAATGTAATTCAGCCGTCATTGATTCAGGCTTGTTCCTACGAGGCCAGAGGCTGACTTGGTTGTCGCAAGTTAGTGAGAATGCAGTGCAATCTGGGACCCCCCTCGGACTCAACTACGCACGGTTTCATCAAGACAAAGCCTAAAAGCTTAGCAGCAGCCGACCCCAGTGGGCTAGACCGCCTCGCCTGGTTGGCTTTAGAGCTTCTCAGGAGGAAGATAGTGACTGGCGCAGCAGCTCTGCAGCTTTCTCGCTGCGGGGTGTCATTGAGCAGTTAAAGTGCTTTGGGTGGCTTTACTTGACGTCAGAACATGGTGTCCTAAGAAAACTATGGTCAACTTACCAAGTGCCACCATTGGTAAATGCTACCTTAGGCTCAATGACTTGCCCATCTGGACCGAACTCTTTATCAATTTTGAGTGTGGCTAGCATCGTAGCAACAGCCATCCAGACACTGTTGTCCGCTAGAAACCGTCCAACGCATACTCGACGGCCAAAGCCAAACTGCCCAAGGGGCAAGGGCTCACCATGACCGCCAGCAGAGACCGACTTGTACCGGTTTGGGTTGAAAGACCTGGGGTCCCGGTATATTCTCTCGTCTTGAGTCATGGCATGGGAGTTCGCAAAAATAATGGACCTGAAGGAAGCGGTTGGAACTTCATTCTAGAAGCATGCAGCTTTTCGGGCCGCCGTTGATGGGTGGAAGAGGAGCAGGGAACCTACCCTTTAGGGATGAACATGCCGTTATAGACGTCGTTTTCGAGGGACTTGTGGGGTATCCCCAACGGTGCCAACGGAGACCATCTGCATTACTCTTCAGCACGTGTCCCACAAGAACCTGAGTCGAACGAGGTTGACGTACCTGTAAACTTCCTGGACAATGTGGTCAATGTACTGGAGGGATGGTCTGTCTGACATATCGGGCAGTCTCTCATGCCCGACGACTCGGTCGATTAATGCCTGAGCCTTTTCCTGAATCTCGGGATGGAGGACCATGTTCAGAACGAAAACAACAATGGTGGCCCAGGTCTGTTGGAAGCTGAAGTCAGCATTGCCTTACTCGTTTTAGGTGCCATTGTCGGTCTTCGTTGTTACCGTGTCCGCCCCTGCAATGAAGATGGCGCCCGCCGCCCCCTTGATATCATCAAGTGACCATTCGTTGCTCAACCCTTTCTTGGCATTGGAGGTGTATGTTTCCAACAACGCGTGCGCAAAGGATGGGCTCTCCTTGCCTCGGGCCTTGACTTGTCAGTAGTTGCGGGCGTTGACATTATGAGCAAGGGCACACTTACCACTTCGTCCTGGGCTACGGCAAATGGGACGTCGTGCAATTTCTGAATAGCCCAACCCCAATCTTGCGCGAATTTCAGCGACCAGTCTCTGACCAGCCAGTTGGGCAAATGACGAGCTGCAGCGGGGATAGTTCTCAGCGATGGATGCAAATGTGTTTAGCATCCACAACTTACCGGGGGGGAAAATGTCAACGATACTGTTGGCTGGTGCACCACCGTTTCCGGTTGCGTACATGGCATCGTCGGCAATCTTGATGTAGGGGTCGTCGTTATCTTGGACGTCGACTCCGTAACTAACTTTGAGTACGATGGCAACGGCGAACCTGGGAGTGTGAGTCAAAGCACAACAACTAGGCTCTTTAGGGGACAGCTCACCTCTTCATGGAGACCTCCCAGTTGTGTGGCTCCTGGAAAATGCTAAGGACAGACTTGCGGGCCTCTGTCTCCTGCAGCTGATACCATTGTCGCACGTTCGTGTTGCTGAAGGTGGTTTGCAGCAGCTTGCGGTGCATTTGCCAGCGAGGCCCAAAGGGAAGGAATGTCAGCGTCTTACCCCATCCCATGCTGGAGAGTAGACAATTTGCTTCAGCATGACGATAAGAATGGCCTGAACAGAGTCTGGATAACTTACACCTCAAAGAGAGTGAATCTAGGCCTGTCACAATAGTTGGCACCCCGCCGGTCGAGGAGATCCTTGGCGGCTTCAACGCTGTTAAGGACTATGATGGGTTGCCCAAGGGCTTTGACAGAGATAACATCTGACTCTGAGAATGTCTCAGCCAAGTCGAGGTTTTGCAGAGTTACCAGGCTGATGGGAACTCACTGTATTCATTAGCCCATTGGGCATACTTCTCGGCTGTTCTCTCTTTGGGGATCACACGCAAATGGCCTAGAAGAAATTCACCCGGCGGGCCAGGGGGCAGAGGAGGGTGACCCCATGAGGAAGATGGCGGCCTAATGAAAAAAAGCAGGAGGACGACGGCTAGACAAGCAGCGGTCGTCATCCATGCAGAGGTGTTCCCATTGGTATCCATCACCCCAAGGACGTATGGGTGGGACAAGCAGTTTGCAACTTCAACAGAGAAACGATAAAGCGCAATTCCAGAAAGACAGACACCAAGAATATGGAGTAATGCTCTAGTGGGGGAGGACGGACTATGGGGGGAAACTTCAAGAGAAGGAAGGAATCATGATTGATCTGACGCTAACGTAAGGCAGAAGAAGGATTGCTAAGTAGTGAAGGAGTTGGAGGAGCTTCTTGGAGGTGGACACGGTCCTTCCCTTCTTCGTCCGCCAGTGCATAACGGTACTGTACACACCAAGTGACGCAGGCGGCTAGAAAGTAAGGGCCGGCCACCCTTACTCCTCCAATTGCTCTCTAGAACCAGTTCTTCTTGGTACAAGTCTTTCCGCTACACTAAATCCTTCACCAGTCATTCATCCCATCTTGTTCCAATTACCGTGGGGCTCTTTTACATATGCGCGCGCACACACTCTCCAAAGAAAAGAAAAAAAAAAGGGGGAAAGCCCCCATTACCACGACACACCAACAAGAAGACCCTGGTCCGTAGCTGACGGCTCTATATGAAGTGTGGCATGACGGTGAAGAGACAACGGGGAATCATATCTTAGTTGTTTGACATGCTGTCTGCATGCTTAAAGTCTAAAGGGATGCTATATCCCTTCCACGTGTCGGCTGAAACGAATCAGACAGGCGATTTCTGTAAGATCTCGTTGCGAAAAACAATACTGTGCAAAGACCAAGCAATCCAGCTTTCTTTTCTTTGTCGAGCGAAATGGATCTGAGACACAGACGAACGCCTGCCTATGAACAGGGACGGGAACTTAGATCCATGGCTGAAAACGGAGAGTGTGTTAGGAGAACCCGGACCATCGACCAGAACCATCTAAGATAGATCCATCCCGTCTAGGCGGGTAGACGGGGCGAAAAGGAACAGGCCATGTCCAGTGCGACATCCGATCGGATTCGGATTTGGATGACAGAAGGGTCGGGTACGCCTACAGTAGCAATACAGCAACCCTGCGTGTGGCTCAGTTGTTCGGCTCGGCTCTTGTAGCAGGGCAAGTTAAGCCCCCTCTTAGAGCGCCTTAACGTGAGGTAAAAAATAAACAAATAAATAAATTGCATGGATCTAACCCTCTCACTTTACACATAGTGACTAATTGGCGTGGGTCTGACCAAGTCCGCGTCCTTTTTCAAGAGTTCACTCAACCTAGTTCAGAGAGCCAACATCACCCGCATAAACTTTTTCGTGGCAGTAGGTTTTCCTTCCTTCCTTTACTTCTTTTACTTTTTTTTTTCCTTTCCTTTTTGGCTTCATTCCATTCAGCCCTGGGCACACAAAACGACCCTAGCAGTGGGCCCTTCTTTTTCCCTGTTCTTAGTTCCTCACAGTATTTCATCTGTGGATATTCCAGACATTCTATCGTAGCACTAAACAGCCTCAGCTGCAGGGCCTTATGATCCCTTACAGCCCATAGGCCAGGGGAGTTCCACTTGCGTACCCCTCACCCCACCATTTCCAGCTGCAAATCTGGCAGCTGGGAGCGAGTTGCCCCGCCAAATACATCATTCCACTCTTTCGTCAGCGGGGCCGTTCCCCTACCGTTAGTTAGTCGGCTGAGGGGGGGAAAAAAAAATAGGTTGGAAATAATTCATATTTGCCCTTCCCTCAAATTGACTTCTGCCCCTACCGTTATCTACCTGCGTCAGATTCCCGAGCTGTGTACTTTTGGTCGGAACCAGCCAGTGTCCGCCTCTTTGAAAAGCCGACTGCCAAAAACCTCGTCCGTCTAATAAAACCGTGGTTAAAAGCCTTCTTCTGTAGAGTACAGACGAGGAGCATCACAAACTCAAAACAACCAATCGTCTCAAAACTTTCCACACCGAACTGTCTCAATTTTTTTTTCACAATGGCTGCCACCAAGACCCCCCAGATCACCGTCCTTGGGTCTCTCAATATCGACCTGACATCCTACGTCCCCCACCACCCCCTGCCGGGCGAGACCCTCACCTCAAACTCTGTCGTCATCTCCCCTGGAGGCAAGGGCGCGAACCAGGCCGTCGCCTGCGCCAAGCTCTCCCGCTCCCGCGAGAGCCCCAACGATGCCGCCTCCGAATCGGCTGCCGTTTCCATGATCGGTGCCGTCGGTGATGACTCGTATGGCTCCCTTCTGCTCAAGAACCTCGGCGAACACGGCATCAGCACCGACCGCATCGCTGTCGGCAATGACCTCAAGACCGGCATGGCCATCATCGTCGTCGACGAGCCCACCGGCCAAAACCGCATCATCCTCGCTCCCGAGGCCAACTATACCGTCACCCCCGAGAAGTTCGGCTCCCTCCCCCAGACCCTCGACCCGAAGCCCGACCTGCTCGTCATGCAGCTTGAGGTGCCTCTCGAGACCGTCCTGGCTGCCCTTCGCTCCGCCAAGGCTGCCTCCGTCCCCGTCCTTCTCAACCCGGCTCCCGCTCAACGCCTCCCTGATGAGGCCTACGACGGCCTCTCCCATCTGGTTGTCAACGAGACCGAAGCTGCCATCCTCTCCGGCTGCAAGGAGTCCGATCTGGACACCCCCGAGGGCCTTAAGAGTGTCGGCGAGTGGTTCATCGCTAAAAAGGTCCAGAATGTTGTCGTCACACTTGGCGGCCGCGGTGTCTACTATGTGAACAAGGATGGTGCTGCCGAGCTTATTCCCGCCGAGAAGGCCAAGGTTGTCGACACCACTGCCGCTGGTGACACCTTTGTCGGTTCTTACTGCGTCTCTGCCGTTGCTGCCCAGGCCAAGGGTGAGACCTTTGATATTGCCCAGAGCATCCGGAAGGCCAACCATGCCGCGGCCAAGACCGTCGAACGCAAGGGCGCTCAAACTTCCATCCCCTGGAGAGATGAGCTCCAATAAGAGGGCTGTGAAAGAGTAATGATATAAAAAAAGGAAAAGAAAAAAATAAAAAGAAAAGCAAGAATATACCCTACGAAGATAAACGAGAAGAAAGTAAAAGGTTATGATTGGACTTAAAAGTGCCATGAGAGCGTGCTTGATTTGAAAATAAGTCTATGTAAACCTACAAACAGCATGTCGTCTACCACCAACTTGGCCAACCCTAGCGGCTTGGTTGCTTTTGGCCTGATCTGCGGAGCGAGCTTCCAACTGAATGTACATCTGTACTCGCGCCAGAAACAGGAGACTCTAAGCTTCTCAGGACTCTAGCGCCCATCGAGCGTGGGCTTCTCAGCATGCCTACAGTCCTCCAGTCACTAACATCAGCCGCCAACTCATCTGGGCACGTTGCGGAAGACGGAACCCGCTCCGGCTGCCCTACATCGGTCCCCCGCCAGCCCACACCCGAATTCCTTCGGAACTTGGAACATTTGTGTCGACTTGTTTCGGACTCTTGCATTGTGAAATATTTGCCCAGACTTGCTTCACGTCTGGGTACTATAGGTGGTGTTCTCATTGTCATGGGTGAATCTTCGGCCGACAGTTTGGGCGTCAAAGTAGGCTGGGCCAGGCTGCGCGAATTTGATTGCTGCCTTACAATCTGCTGTATGGCATCTCTACATTTATCCGGGTCTGAGGGCCAATGCTGGTAAATGATGCCAAATAGTGGATTTCGTGTTGGCGTTAGACACGGGGACCAAGGTGATCTATGATTGAGTTGCTGAATTACGGCTATAGCCGATGTCTCCAGTTTGGTCCCCACATCGGCGACACCGTCGACCTTGTCAGGTTCGTTGTATCTGGGGAACGCGGAGTGCTTATAAGTGACCACGATGCGGAGATATTCTATTATCGAGCCCCCTAGTTGATTTTCCAGGTCGTCAATTAACTCGTCAGACCTCTGCCGGAGATGACCGTTGGCCGGGAAAGGGGCGGGGCTTTGAGGCTCAAAGTGGATGTGGACAAGAATAAGCACTTTGACCTCGAGGGATATTATGCTGCAGATTCGTTAGGCATCGTCAAAGATATGGATCAAAACCTACCTAGGTGCGGGTTTATTTTCTTGAACAATATTAAGGATGCGGTTATTCCCCAATGGAATAAATTGGACGTTGATGTCGTACATACGGCCATACCGATCTAAGCCGAAGTTAGCGCGGGAAAAGTGTTGTCAAACAATTCGCACACCTCCGACCTGGCAGGCATCATCTCCGGATATAGGTAAACCACCACTCATTGTATTGACCCTTGGGTTGAATTTCCCGTTGTAGGGACGGGATAACTCTGCCGAGACTTCGACGGCGACCCATATCGAGCCTCTGTTACCCTCTATTGCTTCAACCTCAGGTGTGACGAGGATACGGGGTACGAGAACTGCTGTATCGTGCATGGATACTGGACCGGTAAGTGAAAGGTCGGGAAACGGAGGGTGGTGCACTGAATGCTGCGCCACCAAATCATTTCCATAATCTGATGGCCAAGGCATATGACCTCTGTCGATGATGCCTGAATCGTGAAGTACTATATTACTTCAGCGAGATCTTTACCGTTTGGTGAAAGCAGCTCACTTTCTGAAAATGGAAATGGGGAACGGTAGGCCGTATTGTATCCCAGTCCTATTGATCCAGGAGTCTGTCTGTTTCCTTGGATGCTCCTCTTCTTCCTGACCACAAGAGGTTGCTCAGGCAGCTCTGGCATGCTGACTAGGCTTTCGTCTGTACCGCTGCTCAGACGTGACGAACTGTCCCCCCGTACTACAATCTCTCCAGGCCAACGCCTGAGTCTCTTGAGTACTCGGAGTGGCTGAGGCCGTGCCGCCCCGCTCTCTGGTCCTTTCTCGGTGAGAAACTCCATGTTAGGCGGCTCTCTCTTGGGGGGTGCCACGTAGCTGACGGAGACCGAATCCTGTCTGGAATATCAGCCAGCTTTATGCCGGATGGCAGCTGCGTCACGAGTCTAGGCGTGCTTCTTCGGATGTGAATGCTCTCGAGGTCTGGCCAAGAGTCCACATGAGCCTGGAAGCGGTTACTGATATCAGGAGTATTCTGGGAGCTGGCACGCCTCAGGCCGTGCTAACGCCTTGGACGTCTAGGATGGCGGAGACCAGCTGCGTCCCTAAAATTCCGGCAGACGAACCGCCAGAGTAAGATGTAAAGAATCAATGGGAGTGACACGGTTGCGATGACAAGCAGTATAACAAAAGCGACTGGTGATAGGCTCATAGTCGGGATAAATATTGACGCACAGTGGCTTGGCGTTGGAAGATGATTATTATTGAGGGACTCAATGCTATGAGCGATATGAATGTGGGGAAAAGCCACCAGCGGTTGCATCTGAGCAACGACAAAGGTAGACAAGTCATCTAGGTATGTCATGGAAGTAGGGAAGTCGCTGCCAGAGAAATGTTATCACTCAGTCGCAGGCACGCCCTGCATGCTGTTGCGTTTTTCAGGAGTTGCTGCACCGCTTCCCAACGTCCGTAGCAGATTGTCCTGGACAGCTTCCACCTCACTGTCATCCATTGCGAGAAAATTTATCTGTCTTCAGTCAGCAGCTACCCCCGCTGTCATGCTTCTGCCGGAGAGAACTTACCAAGTCATCGCCGCCGCCTGCTGCCCCGTATAATACTGCTTCGGAGAGTGATGCTGCGATACCCTTCTCTACTCTATCCTCCCATACACCTTCCCAATTCCACTCCCCAGGACGCCTCGGAGTTGGGACAGCACCCGCCACGGGTTTCCTAGGAATGGCACTTGAGGCGGGAGGACTCGTTACCTCGGGTGTATCCTGTTCCGCCTTCTCCTCGCCCGCATCCTCCCCTGTTTCGCCTTCCGCCCCTTGCGATTCTTGCGGCTCAGGTATAGGATCACCAGGAAGCGCCTTTCCTGCCTGACGCTGACGCGTCCGCCACGCATGCCACGCGCCTGGGTTGCCCGCAGCCTCGAGCGGCACTGAATCCAACACAGTCTCGTCGTCGAACGTGCTCCGAATGTACCTTAAAACCTCATATGTCGAGACCTCCCGTCTCGAGGTGTCGAGGTATCCTGGCCGTCCACCGAGCGGTGTGGCCTTGGTACTCGGCGTCGTCGCCGCGCTGCTTGGCGCGCCTCCCCTTGCTGGTGTCGCGGGGGGTTGTTGCTGCCCACTAACCTGTCGGCTCCCCGCTACGCTCCGGCTCCCTCGTCCGAACCACGCCGGGAACCCGTGTCGCAAACTAAAGCCTCCAGGCGGCAGCCGCTCGGCATCCGTGGCGCTGACGGTGCCGCTGTCCTGGATATCGGTGGTATACATGTACGTGGTTAATGGTGTTATCAGTGGGTGAAACATGTCTGTTGAAAAGGTCACGAGGGGCGGCAACCGCGGGTAGGTGTCGGGAAACGAAATTTGAAATCTGAGGATAGCCGTGGCATAGGGTCCTGTATGACAGTCTCAGTCTCTGCTCGTCCGCTTGCCTGACTCTCTCGTCATGGCGGTGACCATTTCAGTACCGTGCCTCACGAACATAACGCCCGACCACAGCATTGGATCTCCTGGTGTTAAGCTTACAAAAACGCCTTCGGGGCAGGCCTGTTTAAGGCCGGCGCTACAAGCGGGGGTTAGCAATTAGACGTGTGTGGTCCCCCAGATCCAGCGGGGGTGAGTTGAAGGAGACTTAGAAAAACCTCACAATTCAGCCAGGAGATGCTGCCGCCTCAAGGACGGCATGCTGCCCATTCTTAGACTAGCCATCTTGAGATACTTTGAGGCATTCGTAAAATTTCCTCTTTTTCCTTGATGAGATGTGATATACCAGTTATGATGTTGGCTAGGACATGAGACGGTTGTTTAGGGACTTGTTCATGCATAACTGGGGGCGGTGAGCAAAGGCGGTCAAGCATACTGCCGGAACAATCTCTTATCGTGATAAGAAGCTTCCAGGCGTTATCTTATCGCATGTCTGGGCAGACCCCGCCCCCTACGTAAGGGTGAGCTACCCCGCCAAAACTGCAGCGATCTCGGTGCAGTGTCTGTTGTGGCACAGTGAATATTGATCAAGGCAAGTGATACTCGGAGATAGAAGGGTAAGATCGAAACGAGATGTCCGAGACTCGAATCCATACGTGGCGGTTATGCGTTGGAAGTATCACATGCCCTCTCTGTGTAACTTGTGAGAAATGCTATTCGCAGTCACAAAAAGGAGGGGCGGAATTGGTCTCATGATCATGCACATAGTCGAAATCATGTCATTTTCCACGTAGGCAGGTGGCTAGTGCTATTCACGCCCAGGCCTCAGCGTCTTTGATATATATCTATATATGTACTCCAGCGTGAAATAATCGAGCAGATAGAAGAAGTCGGTCTACTTGGAACCAAGTCTAGCCTCAATTTTCTTCTTCTCGCTCGCCTTCAGCTGAGCCAAGTCCTCCCTTGTGGCGTCGTAGTTGGCGGTGACTTGGTTGAAGGGATTCTCGGGGCTTTTCTCGAACTCCTTCCTAATCTTGTCCTTCCTCTGCTGCAAGCGCAGACCTTGGCCTGAGCCATCGTCATCCATCTCCTTGAGACGACGTTCCTCAAAGGCCGCATACGCGGCCTTGAATCGTCTTTCGGGATGCCTGTCGACCTTTGCGTCGGAGGAACCCGTCAGCGAGAGGGCGTCTAGGGCGTTGTCGATACCAGAGGCGTTGAGCGCGGACGAGGAACCCCCATTGCCGTCAAGCTGCGACAAGTCGAGCCCACGGGTCTTCTTGACGGCTGTCTTGGAGTTCTTGGGCGCGGCTCGTCCCGGATTGCTGGCTTCCTCCTCCTTGAGCATGGCGTCACGCTCAGCCTTCTTCCGGGCCGCTTCGGCTTTTTTGGCGGCTTCCGCCTCCCTGGGATCGAACAACGTGTCAGCCAATACCCTATGTCATATATTTCTTATTTTGGTCTTTGCAGGACAGCATAGGCTTCGGTGTGTTTCGACGAGACGCGGATGATATGTGACTATGAAGGGTGGTGGTGGTGCCAGCATGTGTCTGTTGCCATGTGGTTGCGACTGTGGAGGGCTGTGTTTGCGCCTGCATATCTTCTCTTCTCCCTCACTCGTTTCCTCGTTCACTCACTTCTTCGCGTTGCTCTTGGAGCCCTTGGACCATTCGGCGTCCTCGGCAGCCGCTTTCTTCGCGCCTTCGGCAGCAGCTTTTTGTGCGGCAGCCTCGGCCTTGCGGGCATTACCCGCGACCTTCTTGCTGTTCTCGCCAGCTCCTTTCTTGCCTGCCATATTTCCGACCGGTATAGTGTAATCTAGTGTCCTGCGATGCGCGGCGATGCGATGCGATGCGACGCGATGCTATGCCAGGATGCGTGCGATACGTAGCTTGTGTTCGTGTGCGTCGTTTGTGGCTGGTGCCTGGTGGTGCGTCAAAGCAATCTTGTGTGCGTGGGCAGCTTGTGAAACCCAGGCAGTGGTAGGATAAGAGAAAACAGGTTCGGGGCAGTTGTTGTCTCCTCCACAATTGAGGTGTAGTGAAATGGAGCAAGGTAGGTAGGTTGGACGGAGCGGATCTCGGCGTTGCGATACCGTGGAGTAGTGTGGCCAGGGATGGTTGGGATTGGAAGAAGAAAGAAAGGGAAAAAAAAAAAAAAAAAGTAGAGAGAGCGTGACGAAACCCCGAAGACTGACGGTATAGTAGAAAATGCGGGATGGATGGCTTGATTCAGCTTGGGGACCTTGCCTTGCCAACTTTCTTCATCTCTTTCTCTCTTCGACCAGAAGAAGTCTGTGTTAAGAATCTTTAAAATCAGAAAATGACACCATACCTCTCACTACTTCTATGAATTATTATAAAATAGCTAGAGTTTTTTGTGCCTTAAACCATCCTGTGTATCCCCGCCGCTCAAGCAGTACTTCAAATGTTCGACTCATTCGGGGATGGAGTCGCGACCGAGATACAGTATCGGTCTTTATACTTGGCACTGTACGGGCGGTAGTGGAGACGGCTACTCCCAGGGCCAATGTGCGTCACACTTTCTAGTAGAAACTTCCGAGAAACAACGTCTTCGGGCTTTCTTACGATGTTTAGGGGGGCACGTACAGGTAAACCTGACACCTGATAGCTTTCTAAGGATTTATACACGCAGCATACAGGGAGGAGGGTGGTGTTGGTTAGCTCCTGAAGCCACTTGATCGGCCGCCGTCCTCACCCTCCGCCTCTCTGTATTGGGACGGCGGCGAGACATCATGCTCCGCAACCCGAGGTTGCCCGGCCGGGCAGAGCAGATGTAGTCTTGTTTTCTCCGCGCGTCCATCCATACTTCAATCCCTACCATCTTGGCCCCATAGATCCATCGTCGCCTCGTGTCCTTGTCGTGCTTACTTTAATGCAAGTCTTGCCTGCGCCGCCTTTAATCCGGCGTCGTACAAGATGTACTGAGGACTTCATTTCAATGTACCACTCCAATTATGCCTCTGCTTCACCGAGTGGACGTCTCAGCCACTCAGCGAGAGCCTCGGTCAAGAAAGCCTGCAGCACCCTGCCCTTTTCAGTACCAAGACCTGTCGTAGTAGGTCCGTCAAGCTATCCAACCTGCAGCTAGCTATTTGGAGGCTCGCACCTCGCAGGCATTCATGCGCAGTACGGTCTGTTACAGGCCTCCTCTATGACATGGCAGGATTATCCTCACACGCAGGACGCCTCGTTTTTCTCAGATATCGATCGGATCCAGGGTCATCGGACCGCGCCTCGTCTACGTGGTTACCACCAGCCGGTTCATCATTTCTCTGCCACTCCCGTTCCAATGCATCCACAGTAACCTCCCAGATGGGAATTGTCCCCTTCTGTCACAAGTGCCACCCACTCCTCAAGCTATCCCGCCTTGCACAACAGACCACCAACCAGACGCTGATGCTGCTCTTCAAGTGTTGCTATACCCTCGTTGCTGCCCGACCAATGCTCACCACAGCTACAAGCCTCGTGCTCAGCGGGAGTGATCAACTGACCCATGCAATATATCCGGTTTGCTTATTGACACCACTGCTTGTTTGTTTTCGTTTGGCCAGGCTTGCCGAGGATTGCCGATTGAGGCCTTGACACCAGCTCCGCCTCTATGATAACCAGGACCTTAGTGTCAACCCAGGCAAGCATGGAGGCTTACAACCTCGGGTGATATCACATTGCGTCTTTGAATTGTAAGGCGGGAATCCTCTCAGCATCGACCGATAGCCTTGTTTACACGTCAGTCATGATCTGACGTGGTCGATCTGATATGATGTCCTTAATGGATCAGGCAACAAGCTGTAGCCGAACGTGCGTAGCCTTGACCGATTCTGCAATAGAATGGGATACAATCAGTACTGCGAAGCCCCTGAAACCGAAAGGAGTCAGAATCAACCACATTCGATATTGATGATTCCTTGGTACGGCTCGCTTAGAGCCTAGGCTGGATTTGACCAGCACTATCTTGAGGTCCACTGCTATTTACGGTAGGATGCGTCAGAACGGGGTATTTCTCGTTGCTGGGATGCTCAAGATTGCCGTCAGCCTTCGCTCCCGGACAACTCGGATGGCTGAGGCATTGCCCCAATCTGAAGCAGCGGTGTAAGCATACAACGAGCGGGCTGTGAGCAGCTTGGAGACTACATGAGTCCCTGTATCAGACTGGTCATAATCGTAACTTTACACAAGCTGTTACTCTTAGATAACTAGGCCCAGGCGTCCAGGGGTCCCCTGTCGCTTGATGAACAGTCAACGCAAGGTTTGCAACTCTTTCGATGCAAATGTAGGTCGAGAATGACAAGCAATGATGAGAAGGAAAGCCAACGTAAATAAAACAAGGTCTTTGGACCTTAGACCACCACAACACTGCATACTTAACAGGATTACTGCAACGTCAAGGAACACCATCCATGGCTGTGTAACATGAACGAGCCGGATAACCCTGGAGAAATGCTGCATTGAAGAGATCCCCCGATCCAGCAAGGCGTTACCAATCCCCAAGCCTTGCAAACGCATTCCAAGGCCCGCAAGCTCGTGGCTGACCAATAGCCGGGTCGTGATACTTGTCTGTCTTCCTTTCTCAGAGTAATGCATGCCACCCCCGTTTCTCGGTTCACGCCGTCCAGGGAACAACAGAATCTATTGCAGGCGGTGTGAGATCTACTAAACCATTGGGTGACCTGTCATAATCTGGATTATGGGGAACGTCATATGGGATATTGAGAGACCGTATAGGGGAGTCAAGCTTTAAGGCTCCTAGCGATATTGTGGTGGAGAACTGCCCCTTTACAGGGACGAGGAACACGTCCTCTAGCAGCATGTCAACTCGGTGAGGCGGCATTGACCGAAGGTGAAGGTTACTCAACGGTACAGCCTGCAGGGTTCCTCAGTTGAATACTCTTTCGAGCTCTAGTCACTGACTAGCTGTGAACCACTATCAGCCATCTTTATAGCAACAAAACAGCGCCTCCAATAGCTGTCGAACGACAGCGAAGGTATTGTAGCTCGTGAGAACCCCCGGAGGCTCCTATCAGCCTTCATTTGCACGAACTACTGTCCCTAGCCGGCCCATGCCAGAGTTGTCATATGTCAACTTCAGTGGACATGGGGAGACTCTAGGCCGGGCCACCAAAGTGACTTTAGTTCATGGTTAAGGTTCATTTCGGAATAAACTCAACGGAATTGTGGTTTTTTTGGCACGATTATCTGCTGTGAGACACCTACAAGCTCATGTCCAGAGCGAACAAGGCCATGACACCTGGCCTCCCAACCAACCTTCTCTTAGGGCGCACGCATTCAACCGACGAAGAACCTCAATTGATATTGCCTACAATCTTGCCTCAAACCACCTTAGTAAAAGACCGAGCTAGCTAGTGCTTAGCCTCCCTGTCCGTTGTTAGTTGGCCATTTTTGAGGAGACATTTGGCTACTCTGGAACTCCAGCAGCAGATAATCATCACCATGAATACCACACCGGGACAAAGATCAGAGTAGAACTGAACAGAATAAACATGTTTTATGTAAGGATGAGTAAAACGTCCTATGCGGCAATTGCTATTCAAAAAAGAAATATATATATAAAAAGAAGCATAAGGAAGATAAAAGTAAAAAAAAAAAAAAAAGAAACTCTGACTAGAAGATCGGGAGCACGATCAAAAGAAAAAATTGCAATCCGTATCGCGGAATCTAACCGCTTAATCTCCCCGAGGTGGGCTCGAACCACCAACCTCCAGATTAACAGTCTGACGCGCTAGCCAATTGTGCCATCGGGGATACTCAGAATGAGTTATCGGACGTGGATCTGTTGATCCTTGCTTGGATTCCTAAGGTTCTACTGGGGTATATGGAGGGCGGGACTTTACTCCGGCCTTCCGCCATCAGGATACCTCTGCTTCATGGGTTAGGTTGTTGGGAACGCGGAGAACCTTCTGTGAGAAAAACGCGGACTTGCGCGATTGGCCACAAGCCAAGAAAGCGAATGTTCAACCCCTTGCCGCATTCTGCGGCAAACTGTCCTGTCCACTACCACATCAGCAATAGCTTGCTTTTTTACAGCTTCTTGGACCGCGACTTTTTTTGTGGACGGTACGAAGGAAATTGAGCAGCGGGTGGTTCAATCCTGGCATTAATCAAATGAAGCAGTTTAGCTGTCGTGTGACTGCAAGACTTGACTAGGTAGTGTCCATTCATTCCCCTTTGGTCTTCTGTCGCCCGGGAGTGGGTGCTGCTCTCCAGGTCGGTTTCTAGCGAGGTGAAGCTTGCGAGGAACCAATTATATGCACCACAAACCTCTGCGAGAGGCTTCGACTCGAGCTGTGCCTGTGACAACGCGCTGCCTCCAAGGTGTAATCATCTGATATCGCGGTTCGAGGTAGAAAAGGGCGTCGCTGAAGTATAAAGCAAAAGCGAGCCGTTGTGATGACCAACAAGTGCAGCACAGCTCACTACGGGCTGCAAACATGGACATGTGACGAGCTTAGCCCCGGGCTGGTGCATACCGGTCACAGAGAAAACATATAAATGTGCATCTGCCAAAAGCAACGTAACTGTCTGTCGAGGTCCACAGTTGATCAATGGAGCGACGTAGCCCGGGTCAAACGATAAGAGACCGGAAGTGATGCCAATCGGAAAGTCGGTCTCATGGATCTTCGATGTATGTCACATGTCGCGAACAGCGGCTAAAACTGCAAGGGGTCTTGCCGGTCTCCATGTACTGTTCTCCTACAGACGGCTAGGCGTTCATGGGCATAATGCATACCGGTGAATGGCAATGACCTTGGCGCTT